AAAAGGAGGCGGACCCCCCCCCTATGGCCCATAGGGCCCATAGGGCCATGGGTCGAAAGCCCGTACCCCCCAGTGAACATCCCAATCCCCACTAAAATAGTTTCTAAAATGGGTGGTGCACCTACCCCAAAATGGTACCATTGGTTTTGACCCACAGCCATATGGCCTATGGTTTGAAGCGAAACTGCTGTCTGGTGTTGCCCAATTGCCAATCTAATCCAGCCAGTTCCTGGCAACCTGGTTTCTTCGGCCCCTCACAGGCCTGAATAACTCCCTTTCGCATCTGAACGCATGCCAAGCTAGTGCAACAATCACATTACGAGAATTCCAAGCCCGGTACCGTGCCAGCAGCAAAGCATCAAACCAAAACGCTGAAAGATTAAGAAAATATGGGCCCATCGCAGCAGCCTCAGAAATTGAAGACAAAGAAGCGCTTGTGCAATGTCACGTCACCCTTTTCTGTGTTGAGTTAACGCGGCTCGTTTCCCTCTTCAGATCCGACGCAACCAAAAGGACTCTCCGATCGCTTGACTTGAACATTACCACTGAGGCCATGGACTGGTGACGCGCTGGCACGCAGGGCACTGAGATTTTCCCACCAAAAGTTACAATTGACTGGTGGTGCCCATCGAAATTGACACTTTTGAAGGTCCAAAAAGAAAACATGGAGCCCTGAATCCCTGAACCTGCCAGACGGCAGAAGAAGCCTCCTGCTTCATCCACTCGGAGCCGTATTTCAGCAGCACCGGCAGGCCGATGGACACGGCTCCGTCCAGGCCATCCTCGTAGCCGGGGCACATGGTCTTGCTGCGCTCCTCCTGCACCACCATCTCGTGGAAGTAGTTGAACCTCTCAGCAAGCACACGCTTTTGTTGGCCCTTGGTCCATGTGGGTGCGGGTCAGAATTAAGCCACCAGGGGACCGCAGGTTTAGTTCATGTTCCATTTACCAGAGTTCCATTTTGGGTACATATTTTTTGACCCACAGCCATGTGGCCATGGGTCAAAAGCCCATGGGGAACTCACCTACCCCAAAATGGGATCCCATTGGTTTTGACCCACAGCCATGTATCTGGCACCACAAAAACCTGGAGGTGAGGCCATGAACCTAGGCTTCAAGCAACCGGATCGATCTCCAAGCTCGTTCCATCAAGCGCTGTCGTTCCCAAAGGCCTTTTGGTGGTTGAAGTGGTTTTTGGTTTGCTTTTAATCCCTTTGAGACTTCAGAAGCCCTCTCTCTCTCTCTCTTTCTCTCTCTCCCTCTCTGAACAAACCCTTGCACCCATGGGAATAAATCCTTCTGGCTCAGAAAACCCCGCCCCCCAGCCCCCCCCTACCCAGCCCCTTCACCGAGCCAACTCCTCCAAGTGACTCCTCGGGTTTCACCACACCCCCGCAGAGGGACTTGGGGATCTTCAGGTGAGGCCCCGGGCCCTGCACCATGGCGATGATGCCCAGCTCGCCCATGCGCTTCCGCATCGCCTGCCGGAAAAAAAAATCGGGGGCGGAGGAGGGCTGGGCGAGCTGATGCTGAGGGTGAGCCAAGTCTTGGCAGTGGCTCCAAAAACATGAAGACCAAAACGGCCCTTGGCAAATGGAGCCACAGACGAAAACCTCGGTTTGCCCTGGCTCCTTAATTTTGAGCCACACCCATTTGCCTTCAGGCTATGAAAAGCTCGGCGCCGGAAAGGTCAAGATGCCTTTCCCGCCTGAACAAGAATTGCAAGCAAAAGGCCCGAAAACAAGGCAATGCCAAGCGGCGTTACATAGCTTGCGTGTCTTCACTTCTCACCAAAACGCATCTGGAACTGCTGCCCAGAGTGAGGAGATCAGCATCTCACGTTCTTACGCTGCCATGCATACGCCCTACATCTTCGTTGGCCGAAAGCTCGCATCCATTGCAAGCTCCCATTCCTTGAGGCGTGTCGATGGCAATCCAAGCCGTCCGGCTGGAACTGCAAGGAGTGGTTTATATTTCGGAAGGACGGCAGCCGGCGTCAGCCGCTTCCAAGCTCTGCAGCGATCGGAGCATCCCACCCTATTGGCAAGCACGGGATACTTCAAATCTTCTATTCGTGATGTCGAGTCCCCCCATCTGGCTGTCCTTCTAGGTACGTACAACGTCTTCACGAGCCAACAGCTCCTACATCCCAGTTGCCAGGCCCATGCCACAAGCCTTTGCTTCCGCCCCGCAACATCCCCGCCGGAAAACCCCGGGTCCTCAGCTTCTTGGCTGACGTTGGAAGGGGAGCAAAAGTTTTTAAAAATTTTAGCAGTTAAGTGGTTGGATTTCAACCACTAAACCACAACAAGCAAAAATGTCAAATGTTTCCCAACAACAACCATGGTTTTCCCCTGGCCTTGCTGGGAGCAGAGGATTTCAGCTCGCACTCCAGGGCCTCCTCCATGGTCTCTCCGCAGAAGAACTTCCGCGCCTCCTGCAGGGACCGAAACCGAAAACCGAAAACGAGCGGGGAAAAACACCGCGGGCTGGAAGCGAATTGGAAACCTTTTGCGGCTGAACCTGGCCGTGCCTTTTGTCGGGAATTGCTGGGCTGGCTTGGACGACTATCGTCGGTTGGATTGATCACGATCCGATTCAAAGTATGGCTCCAATACCACATCGATCCCAGCCGAAAAGCGATAGCGGTGTGCCCTTGGCTGCTTAAGCATTGTTTGGTAGGTTCTATAACAGCGATGTGGCCCAAATTGCCATCCATCCAGCAGGACCTTCCCCAAAATGTTCTCTGGAAATAACAGGGAACATGCCAACCAGCCTGGCGCAGCTTGATGTGGGTCTCATTGAAGTATGGCGACTTGAAGCCCTGCAAGTACCTTCAGTCGACTGTTCCGCCAGTTTCGGTGTCTTTGAAGGTCCGGAGAAGGCAGCGCTTCAACCGCCAGTTTCAGGCATCGATCATGGCACTGCCTCCATCCCACTGGGATGGACTAGCATGAAGCAAATTCTTGCCTGCACCACACCTGAGATGTTGTACAACCCATGCGATCTGGGCTCTGGTCTACAAATTGCGACATCCAAATCGCAAATCTGGAAGTTGGCATTTTTGGTGAAAGGCCGCCGGCAGCGGGTGCCAAACCCGGCAACCTGGTCTCTCAGGCGCGAAATCCGAGCGGCGTGGGCTCGGCGAAGGGCACCTGGCTGAACTCCTGGACCCTTTCGGAGGCCTGGCGAGCTGAGCCGCGCGGTGCACTGAGTGGGTGGGCGGCTGAAAAAGTGGGGCCATGTCGGTCATGGAAGCACATAGATTGGACCGATGACAACTTGCTTTGGCTCCTTCAGTGTTTCTCAGCCACCCCAGATTGAAGTTGGGCTTCTTGGGGATCCCACGTTCCTTGTTTGCTGATTTCCCAGCCAGAACCACTAGACGTAAAAGTAGCAGTAGTAGCAGTAGTAGCAGTAGTAGCAGTAGTAGCAGTAGTAGCAGTAGTAGCAGTAGTAGCAGTAGTAGCAGTAGTAGCAGTAGTAGCAGTAGTAGCAGTAGTGACAGTAGTACCAGTAGTACCAGTAGTAGTAGTATTAGCGTTGGTGGTGGTGCGGTGGCAATAGCAATAGCAAGAATACTCGCAGTAGCAATATGGTAGTACTAGTCGTAGGTAGTGGTAGTGGGGAGTAGCAAGTAGTAGCAGTAGTAGTGGCAGTAGCAGCAGCAGCAGTAGTGGCAGTAGTCTTTGTCGACGTCGTACTCATACTAGTACTACTACAGTAGTAGTAGTAGTAGTAGCAACCGTCGTAGCAATAGTCGTGGTAGCATAGTCGTAGTCGTAGTCGTCGTCGTCATAGCGGTAATGCATAACGTGGTGGTGGTGGTGGTGGTGGTGGTGGTGGCGGCGGCGGCGGCGGTGGTTGTGGTAACACAGACTGCAGCGTCCCGCCTTCTTGGGTGCGGGCCCCGCATCTGCCAATCGGCCCTTCTTGAGGCGGGCGTACTTGTCCAAAACTTCTAGCCTGGCACCAAGGCAGCGACTGGGCGGCATCCCGCTCCTTTTGCAGCGGTGAAGGGTGGGGCGCACTATGGCTTGAATCCAGCCAAACCGATCCCTTTCTCTGCGAGAGGCCATGATGAGTCTCACCTTCCTATGAGCAGAACTTTTCCGGACAGCATGGGTTTGCTGTCGCAAGTCCAACACACCCGCACAAATGTGCAATACCATCAGCAATTCAACGACGCTCCACGATTCTCTCGGTTCTCACCGTTTTCGCAGCCATGCTGACTGCCTAAGCCCATGCCGCCTGTGCAGCGCGTAGAAATCCTCGGTGGCATCCTTGCCAGCGTATTCCAACAAAATCTGCGTTCCGCCCGGGTGGACGCCCGCAAACTTTGTCACGTCATACCTAAGACATATGCGGGCATGCAAAAGCTGGGCACTGTGAGTCGGGCCCCAGAAAACCTTGCGCTGCAAAAAAAAAAAAAAAACTTGACGTGCTTGAAGCGGGAGAGTGCAATGGTGTATTCATGCTGCGGAGTCAGCATGGTTCGGGTTCGAACATTACACCCCACAGCATTCTAAGTGCTGATGGCTCTGTTTCTGCAACAAGCTTTCCTGCTGCAGGCACTCTCGGCTACTACATAGATTCCATCTGGCAGATTTGTAGGGCACAGCTTTCACATGTCCAGGTCAGTGGACTCCTCTCAGGTGCATCCAGGCGGCACGTCGCCGTCCACAACAATCCAAGCGTCGTCGGCCTTGTTGTGCTTGGCAACCTCCTCCTTCGTGATCGACATGGCGGAGGAAGACAACGCGGGGGAGCTGCTCGTCACAAAGGGCTGCGGGAACTTCCGGCCATGTCTCGCCCGCAGGTCGCTCTATTTCAAGGCATGCCCCAGCGCGAGCGACATCAACAGGAGCGTCTTCCAAAATGCTGCAACTCGAAATCAGATGGTCTCTTGCGTCGGCCAGAAAATCTCCCCATGTCGAGGCAAACTCCTCGGACACATCCACAATCGGCCGAAAACCGTCCAAAGCCCCCAGGGCTGCGGCCTCCACCTGACGTGGCCCTCGGCTAACCAGTGCGTGGATGTGCACCAAAACCTGAGCTTGGCGAGAGCGCCTGAAAAGGACCCTTTTGCTTGCCAGCATGCCCGGTCCATTTATTTTGTTTCGCGTGAGGTGTGTTGAGACATGCCGATTCATGCGGGTGCTCTTTCGGATGCTGCTTCTGTTGATGTGTTCTTCTCATGTTGCTGCCTGCTATGGCATTGTAGCACCAATTACAGCTGACTAGTTCAAATGTTTTGTCATGATTTGTCCGACTTCTGAGGCTCGATCATCGCGGTATGCAACAAAGAACAACTGTGCTGTGGAGCGTGCCACGCATCTGAAAAGAAATTGGCAGCAGCAACCCCGACAATTCTGCTTGAGAGGGGGTCTGACTCATAAACTCGCCTTGAGAAGCCGACATAGCTAATGAACAGCAAACGAGCTGTTGGGCGTGACTGATTCCACCAATCCTTCTCCAGCCTGCCATCCCAGCTGCAGACGCCTGACTTTCTGACCTGCGCGACCTCTGGCCAAGGGCCCTCCTTCCCCACCCCACTTGGCCACCAGCGGTGTAGGCGAGCTCCGTGCTGCTGGAGGACATCATCGTCAGCAGCGGGCCCTGCCGCTTCCAATTGGTAATGTTCGAGTAACTTCTGAGATTCTGAGTCACATGGCTGTGGGTCAAAACTATGTACCCAAAATGGAACCCTGGTAAGTGGAAGCAAAGACTAAAACCTGCGGTCCCCTGGTGGCTTGATTGTGACCCATACCATGAGTGTGTCACTCAAGACTGGGGGCACGGCTTTGGTGCACAATAAAACGGGGACCCAAATCCAGCCTTTGAACTTTGATGGGGGGTAAAGCCATTGCTCCCTCTGAGCGGACAGCACGCCGTTAGGTGGCTTCCTTCCTTCACGATAGGTTGTCCAAAATAATTCGGAGTTCAATCCCTTATCCTCAGCTGGTCTGGTTGGCTCCAAGTCCAAGTAGGTTTGCTGAAGTTGGTCAAAGTTTAGCTTCACACCAAGAAACCCACCAAACAATGTGGTAATGGTTGGAAGCCTTTGCCTCGACTGTGAAGTCAAGTCGACATATTCGGGGTAGTTTTCCGAAACCAGGCCACCCATGCCTATCCTCTAACACAATCGCGTTGATTCAAAAACCTTTGTGGATGTATCGGCAAAGGTTCCCCATACCAGGACCTGCCTTTGGCAACCCCAGCAACCAATTGAAGTCGAACAGAATCGAGACTGCCATTCGCATCCAAGCAAGCAGAACGATGTCGCATCGGCCAAGGCAGCAATTCAACGGCTCGACAGCAACCGCTACAACTTCCCTCCACATATTTCATCCAGCACGCGGCTTCGGCGCCTTCAGTCTTTGCAGCACGTCTTGCTGCAGCTCAGGCCGGGTGCTGGTCAAGTCCATAAAGATCTGGCGGGCCGTGTTTCAAAAGCAACGGCCATTTGTTTTGGCCTATCTGAGCCGAATTGGTAAGGATCGGCCGTTCTTGGCTTTGACAAGGACCTGCCCTGTGGTTCTCCATATTGCTCTCGCGATTTTCGCTCTCCAAGTGAGCTGGAAAAAAAAAAAGGATTAAAACTCTTATCCCAGGATGTTTTCATTGCAAATCCAAGCGGCGGTCTTCATAAGAGTGAGGTCCCCCAAAAACATGCCCCTTAAGTGTATGAGGTCTCAGGTGTGTACACCGCTGCAAATTGTTGCTGGCTGCTGCTGCTGGCTGCTGCTGCTGCTGCTGCTGGCTGCTGCTGCTGCTGCTGCTGCTGGCTGCTGCTGGCTGCTGCTGGCTGCTGCTGCGGCTGCTGCTGCTGCGGCTGCTGCTGCTGGCTGCTGCTGCTGCTGCTGGCTGCTGCTGCTGCTGCTGGCTGCTGGCTGCTGCTGGCTGCTGCTGCTGGCTGCTGCGGCTGCTGCTGGCTGCTGCTGCTGCAGCTGGCTGCTGCTGCTGCAGCTGCTGCTGCTGGCTGCTGCTGCTGGCTGCTGCTGCAACTCATTGCTGGGATCTGCAGAAACAAAGAAAATGCAAACTACAGAAATGGGCCACTCCTGATCCAAGGCATCTACGACTTGCGCGCGACTTGCGCGCGACTTGCGCGCGACTTGCGCGCGACTTGCGCGCGACTTGCGCGCGACTTGCGCGCGACTTGCGCGAAAATTTGGCAATCTTCCGGATTCTTTCGACCATGCGGATGATGATGATGATGATGAATCATCACTGCGTCACTTGCGCTTCACTTGCGCTTTACTTGCGCGGCCCCATGTTTGACTTGCGCGGCCGCTCCTGCAACACACTCCTGCCATTCAAATTACAAGCGGCGGTGCAGCTAATTTGATAGGTCCAAAAGACCTGGGATCATGCCTGACATTGACACATACAACGGGATTGTTTTTTCCGACTCAAGTGAGTGTGGGTGCGTGGATCGTGTGCCACGAACTTCTATGAGCAAACAGCTTCTTGATCAACACGAGCAGCACTTGTGTCATCAATGAGCGTAAAGCCCTGCCCCAAGCAAATGCAACTGCGGCCCTCCAATGGGTTAATCAGAATCAGATACGCTCAGAGAACTCGGGGCTCGAGCGCTGACTTCTTCAAGCCTTCTCTCAAAAGCTCATTGCTCGCACAGCCTTCCATTTTCTGGCCCGGTCAAACTCCCTGGCCTTTGTCACGGACAGGAACACGGCGCAACTCGACTGCTTCAGCAGACCTGGTTGCGCAGGTCTTTTCCGGCGGCCAGGCGACTATTGATTCAGCACGTGCCAGAAGGTCAAGCACAATCTGGGTATACCCAAAATGGAACCCTGGAAAATGGAAACAAGGGCTAAAACCTGCGGTCCAGACGCTGGTCACTTTTTTTTGACCCATACTCATCTGTGGCCGCAGGCCATCTAAGATGTTCATAATGTCGAACATCTCCGACTCATTGGCCACTGAATACCTTCGTCTTCGCTGAAATCCATGCGCCAGATCCATTCCCGGCAGCTGCTCTACTTCTCCGTGAAAGGAATCGACCGGGAAATCGGTAGAAACGCCGAGCTGGAGCGACGTGACCCTGCATTTCTTGGTTGACGTTGGAAGAGCAGCAAAAAATTAAAACTTAGCAGTTAAGTGGGGATTTCCCACTAAACCACAATAAGCAACACTATAAAATGTGTCCCAAGAGCAACCATGATCTCATGGGAACATTCACATTTTTTCGCGCCGCCGCCAAAAAAAAGCACACGTCCGGAGACCTCTCTCTCGTCGGGGCACTTGATCAGGAGCCGCAGGATGGCACACTGACCCCACTCGGAGAAATGCATGATGCGGTTCAGCAGGCTAGTGATCTGCGCAGGCCAAATTTGCTGGTGCTGAGCAGGGCGTGACACAGGGTGTTTGGAATGAACGCAGGGGTCCCCTAAAAGGAAACCACAAGTGATGAGCTCATTCCATTTCTCATTCCCTGAGCAAGCACAGCTTCTGAACTAGCACTGGGATCCAGCTCATCTCTGCGAACTGAACGGCCCCAAAACTGGTCAGGCCGGCCACTTCCTCCGTGGGCATGTAGCCGCCCTCCGCAGCAAGCACCTGCCAGTGGCCGCTCGAAGCCTGCGACGCTGGAGTGGCTTCCAGCCTCCTCCAGCGCCGAGATGGTGTTGGACACCACATGGGCATCGCTGTCGCCAACCAGCCTCCGCTTAAGGGGGATGGCTCCAAACGCGCAGCGCACGGCGGTGGTCATGCAACATAAGTAACATGAGATCCAAAGTTTGAGTATTCCAGGGCGACCACAAGTCACACTCACAACAAGGTAGTTTGTCATGGAAGATAATTTCACCAAGGTCCGTGCCGCTTCAAGGAAGGCAGCAGCTCGGTCTCATTGACCTAACTAAGGTGTCAGCGGCTTGACATAAAAACTTGGTCTTCTTCAGTTTGGGCTATTCTGTCGGAAAGGTATCAGCGAGACCACTGAGCTCCTTGGTGGAATAACGGCTGGTCAACGCCAGCAAGGAGCGACTTGGATGTATGTATGCTGCAAGCTTCCAGGAATGCGACTCTCTTGCCAAGTGGCCACTGAGGGAGAGATGTAGAACAGCTTCACCACCTGGTCCAGGACTGGTTGCCGGAATGCAGGGCATCGTCGGGTTTTGGTATGCGGTGGACCGGGAGTCAGGCTCCAATGACTGCCGTCTTCCTCACATAGCCGTTGACATCCTGACAGCCGGCCAAAGAACTGGCACGGAATGCAAGTCTTCGTTTGCTCGGAGCATGGCCATCACTGGACTTCAAGGAGGTGTCAAAGGCAGACCTTCACTCGACCCAATGGGCTCCTCCAGTGCTCGCTGCACGGCAGGCTGCAGGTACCTCGCCAAGCCCCGAAGCTGGCCACCCCAAATATGAACCAAAGGCAACATGTGAGTCATAATCAAAACCCGGTATCAAAATGGTCGACCCAGAACCATGTGAAGAACTAAGAAGGCGGCCGCAGCTATTTCTGGTTGGGATTGTCCCTTACTAACCTTCACTTACCCGGGTTTTGATTGTGACTCATGTTGTTTGCAACAACTTGCCAGGCAAACACCGCACGGTAGCCAAACACCCGCAAGAAAGGGGGCACTCCACCATGTTCGCCAAGCTCAGGGAGCCTCAGCAACCAGGTGAACAGAACGGCGTAGATTGTCGCCGCTTCAGAGGTCGCAGAGTGGCCGTGAGGACGGGCCATCGCGATTTCAATGAAACAAAGTGGCCACGGGCCGAATTCCAAATAGCTTGTTTGATTCCTGCTCAGTCTATTGCTGAGTCTGAAAGCCACTCGAGCTCTTGTCAGAACACCAGCCAAGGTGCAAAGCGAACGAAGCGCTAATCCCCGGATCATGGGGTCATCGTCCCGGCAGTCCTGCTGTGTTCAAGTGATCCCAAATCAGCGCCGCCAAGCAACTAGCTGCCGACGCCCGGACTGCGCTTGACCCAAGAATCATCAATGCGTGGCTCCTTTTGGAGGGTGTTGATGGCGAGGATCGCCAAGTCCGAATTGCTCTCAGCATAATTCACGAGATATAGATATACCTGCAAAACCCCGCGTCAAGCTTGACAACCCCTGTGGCAGGGGTGACTTTCGCACAGGCGGATATGGACTCCCATGAGTTCTTTCGGTGGACCCATGCCGCAGTCCAACTCGTGCCGCACTCGGAAAGCCAAACTGCATGCAGATTGCCCTCCGATGCTTAGGATCATTGGAAGGCGGAAAAGCAACAATTCCTCTCAGGCCCGCGCCATCTTTTTCTGCACAAGGTCTGTGGTCGCGCTAGCCTCGTCACTGCAAAGCAGGTGAGCCTTAACAAAAACCCAAAGCCTATACAATGCCCCTAGAATAGTTGATGAATGTCATTGCCAACATTAAAATGGCAATTTGAACCGCTAAGCGAGGCTTCAACGATTTCTGACCTTCTCTGCGCATCCCGGCCATGACCATCTCACTAAAGAGCGGGGACACGTCGATGCCCAGCGTCATGTAGGCGATAACCTGCAAACACCGTGCTCGGAAACATCACCCCAACTGTGGCTGAAAAGAAACTCCGCAATCCAAACAGCGATGCTTGGTTGACGTTGGAAGGGGAGCAAAAATTTAAATCTTGGCAGTTAAGTGGGGATTTCAACCACTAAACCACAATAAGCAAAAATGTAAAATCTTTCCCAACAACAACCATGGACAGATGCAACCGGACGCGCAACCAGCGGACCTTCTTGATGGCATCCCTCTTCTTCTGCTGGTCTCGGTCCGCCGAGGCGCCTGGCTGGAAACAGCCGAGGTCAAACGATGACTTAATTACAATGATACGAATACATTGGTATTTCAGCTCGGGACGAAGGTCGTTGAATGCACACATTCCGTGCAGAACCATCATCCAGGCGAATATCAGTTATCGCGACTTCAAGTGCCGGGTGGCAGGTGGCTCCAAATGCTCCCTGCAGGATGTTCTCTCTTGCTCACTGAGGGACGAATTCAGTCCATTGCAAGACTGACCCGCGAATAAGGAGGGGTGCGCATGCGACCGGCGCCTCTTAGCAGTTGCCGCAGCTCATGCACTTCGCCTTTCTTCTCGAAGTAGCCTGCAAAGTGAAAGGAGCTCGGGCCCTCAGACATCTTCCCATCTGCCTCCCATGCCATGTGGCTGTGGGTCAAAAATAGGTATCCAAAACGGAACCCTGGTAAATGGAAACATAGACTAAAACCTGGAGAAAACCAGCGGTGTTGAATTTTGACCCATACCCATGTGGGCGTACCGTCCGCACTGCTGCTTGAACTTGTTTGGGGCACCACCTGAACGCTCGACTTGAATATCTTCCCTCTGACAAGGACAAAGGAAATAGCATCGGCATAGCGATTCCTTCGGGACAGCAGATTTCTGTTTCACTGGCACTTGACTGGTCTTAGCAAAGGCTTTGAACGGTTGCTTGAAAAAACAATGAAGAGATGGAATTTCTCCACGCGAGCGAACGTGGTGCATCCCGTTCGCCCACTCCTGCGGGTCTAGGAGGCGGCGGCTGCGCCATTTTCTCAGCCTGCAGCGGCACATGACGACCCTTTGCTAAGCCCTTCTGATGCACATTCGCATCATAAGTAAGACGATCCACGACAGCTTCGGGTTGACCCTCCGACTCCAAGCCTTCACAAACGCAAGCACAACAAAAGAAGGCGAGATGCCAGATGCACCGAAGCATTGAGCACCGCACCTTCTTTGGACTGCAGGAAGAACTGAGTTTCGGTTGCCGCACCTTAGAGCAGGAGCAGCCAAACAAAATGAGGAGAAATGAGAATCCCAACACATCCGAGGAACAATATGTCCCATGAAGTCTTCCCGGCTAAAGCAAAAAACCTGCTTATTTCCTTTCAAAATGCATGCGTCTTCCTCCCAGGTCGGCAGCCTCGGTCGGATAAATAGATATGGCCATGGGTCAAAATCCCATACCTTCAGTGAACATCCCAATCACCACTAAAACAGATTAAAATGGGTGGTGCACCTACCCCAAAATGGTACCATTGGTTTTTTGACCCACAGCCATGTTTGCTTTCCTTCATAACGCCAACCTGCCCCCACAGTTTGCCAACAAATCTCGGGAACCAATCTCACAAGCCGTATCCTGCGCTCTGGGCTGCCCGGCCCGATTTTTCCGAATCGGCAACTTACTGGTGTCAGCAACCTTGCACCCGCCGGTTTCGAGTTGGAAAAAAGCCGTGATTGAAATCTGAATCATACCTTGTCCGCAAAACAGCCCGCGAACGGTGAGAATGGAGAACTATGGATGGAGGAAGTCCTGTAATTGCAACTTCCTCATCACTACTCTTGACAAGGTGATACAGTAGATGGACAAAACAACAAACCCCAAACCTAAGGAATCCTGTGAAGCAACTAGTAAATACAAACTACACCCGAAACCCACAGACATGCTGAGAACCACCCCAAAAAGCGAAGCTCACTGGCCAGTTCACTTCAATGTGCCTCCGTCACGACGGCCCGACGGGTGGGCCCTGCTTTGGGCGCCTCAGGTTTCGCGAAGCTCCACGCAGCAGGGCTGGGCCAACCGTGTCTGAACAATGTGTAAACCACAGATCGGCAAGCGCCTACATTTAGGCGCCTCTTTCCAGCCCATACCACCCTGGTTCTGAGTGCTTGGGCCAACAGTTCTCCAATCCCCTTCGGTGCCAGACTCTCCGCTCGTACACGCCGGTTGAAAGATAAGATGTTCGTCAAGCTTCCCTTCGTGGAAAGGCAAAACCAACAGGCCTTCAGACAAACAAATGGCCTTTCCGGTGAGCTGATGCTTCGCACCCACTCCTTCCCCCTCAAGTTCCCCGGCACCGGGCCACCCTTCGGGCAGAACCTCAGCATGCCAATGATGCCATCCATTCAAGCCCCAAGCCCGATGCTTCATTGAAGAAACATAGAGCTACGGTCGAGTATATGTCTGAAATCAAATTGTACGCAATACTCCACGCTGAATGCTGCTATTGCACGGTCAGCCCCTTCTGCTGCCAAGCAGGGTGAAAGCCTTTTTGCGGCTCAATTTGCCACTTCACTTCCTGAAATGCAGCTGATAGTTGAGGATTCGCAGAGAAGGGCCGACAGCAGTCTCCGTTCCAGTGCGGCCGGATGTGGTCAGCACTCAGTCGGCCGAGTTGCTCAACTTACCACTCAGTCGCACCTATCGGGATTGATCGTCTTCAATGAGCATAGGGTTGTAAAACCTAAACCAACCTCCTCCGCAAACAATTCCTTATCAACACAAACATCCTCGCCGCATGCCCGAAAAATGATAAGTGATGGAATGTCGTTGAACACATGCAAACCCCATCAAGCCGTCGCTTTTCGCACGGTGCTTTGGGCCGCAGGCTGTCCGGGCGGCTCGCCACGGGTCCGCCAAGGATCCAAAGCTGGGAGCCGAGAGGGCCAATGCATCACAAGGACAAGGGTTTTTGGTCCTCGAAACTGCTGCCCTCAGATCCCCTGCTAAAAGTGTAACACTACCACTAAACCCAAAACAGCGGAGTGTGTAACTTTACCCAAAGCTACAAAGCTAAACAATCGGCTGGGAGCCACCAAGGAAAGAGCATGAAACATAAGAACAAATCGCTGGCACCTGTCCCGCAAGCAACTGCCGCTTCCATTCCCCATGCAATTGTGGCGCTGTTTGTTCGCATCCGCCTCTTTTCTGCCCTGCAGCTCAAGCTAAACGGTCTCTCGGAAAAATGGAAAGAACAAACAAACAGGAGTCAAGGATCGATATGGACATCCACATGTTGCAAAAAAGCATGTGAGTGGTCCAAATATGCGGTTGCTGGAACATGGGAACATGTGAGAGCTTTTCCCGGTGTTTGCGGCAAACTGAGAGGTCCCCCATGTCGTGCCCCCAATTGACCACAGACTACAGTACTGGTTTTTGTTGACCGAACCGCCTATTATAATCTGCGTACTTCTGCCCCCTTCACAGCCTCCCCTTCGAAGGGGCTCCTCATATTGAGAGACGTATACGGCCATGGGTCAAAATCCCGGTTAGCCCCCAGTGAACATCCCAATCCCCGCTGAAATAGACTGAAATGAGGGGTGCACCTACCCCAAATTAGTACCATTGGTTTTGACCCACAGCCATATGGCACCCCTAAGTACCTTCTGTCGCAAGACTCTTTTTAGTAGTCTTACCAGGGAACCTAGTCTTACCATGGATCAGAGCTCCGATACAGGGCGGTCGCAAAATGCGAGCGCGCAAGTTTGCCAACTTTTGCACATCCGCTTTGAGTGACCTTGATGCCTTGACCCGCCGAAACCCGAAAAAAGCACCGTGTATTGCTTTCATGTTGTGAGCTGAGATGTGGCGCGGAACCAATGGCGACATCAGGGTCTTTTCTCCTCTCGTGCCGTTCTGGGCGAATCCGATAGAAGCCACCCCAGCCTTGGCGGGGGCTTTTGCTCGGAAGCAGTCCAGGAGTTGTCTCTATGCTCAACTTCTGGCAGCCGCTTTCTGGCTGGTACAAAGAAACCAAACAGGCAAGCTGCAGTGTTACAGCATTGAAGTGAAACAAAACAATGATTAGAAATTCAGGAACACCGAAGATTGTAAAAGCTCGAGTTCAAAATCATAAAACTGCCCCCACTCACAAATAGTGGGTCATTCGGCGCACTCAACTGATTGGCCTACTCCCAACTCCCTTCCCCAGACCTGCCCCACCTCATCTTTTCCCCCTGCAAAACCTGACTCCAGATGCTGGTCCACTCTCTAGCAACCCTTGAGCGCGCAACAAAAATGAGGTCCAAAGGCGCCGCCCCCCGGCCTTTCCACCACCTTTGCGTCAGGAGGCATTCGCTCCGCGGGGTACTGCACAAAGACCCAAAAGCCCAGCGCCACCGCCATGCTCACCCCGTAGGCCCGCGCCCAGTGCGGCGGCGGCGGCGGGCGGTGTTCGGCGAGCTCCGCCCGGTCGACCGCCTCCCAGCCGGTCCACACGAAGCTGATGACCCAGTTGTGCAGCACGCAGACCTCTCGAATTCCAACTTGCCAAGTTCAAGGAAACAACCCGCTTGTGGAGTCCACGGGCTGTCTGCTCTGAAACCCCCGGAGCAAAGGACAAGCCAAGCATCCACCCTAAGCCAGCCCCAACCACCAAACCCAAGCAAGGGGCGGAGGGGGGTGTCCTAGATCAACCCTAAACCACAAACCATCGGTATCCAAACAAAGTGTAAAGCATCTGCCGCACAAAGGGTACTTCACTTTTGCAAGTGAGCCAAGGCTTTTCCATTCTTTCCATGAGCCCGGAGCCGGACGATTGACATTCATTTCCGTTATCCGATTGGAGAACTACAAGGGCGTAGCTGGATCTTTCGTAGATTGCAGAAACAAGCCATTCCGGAAAGCAGCCACTTTGCGTGCAGAGGTGACACTTCAGAACTTGAGGGGCATTCCTTCAGTCTTGGCTTCTCCGAGCCACAAAAGTGCACCCCAAGTCTTCTTCCATGATGGCTATCATCACAAGGCTATCATCACAAGGACGAAACTCACTCCGAGCAGCCGCGAAGGTGAGGCGCGCCAGAACGCGCAGCGGCACGGTCAGGCGCAGCCTGCTCAATGCTATGCTGAGGGACATAAGGAGCTGGGTGCGTCTTTTTGTTGAGGGTGCCCTTTGTGGTTACTGTTCAAAGCAATGCGAAACCTGGCCCATTTAGAGACTTCCAAGTAGTCAATGCGCAAGCCATCTTTCAGTATTGGCCCCATAGTTCTTCAGCACATTGATCCCAAAACTTCGAAACATGGGCAATGTTCCAGGTAGATGTGGTGCAGCTGTTCCTCAAACCAAGATCTCAGGCTGCCCCAACCCATGGCGCGCGCTCGAGCCATGAGATTCGAGCAAAGGCCTCATCAGCCACAGGCCCCAGCTCAGCTCGAAGCAGCTGCAGCACAGCACCGTCCAGCTGCCTCGGACGCTGGCACTCGCCCCTGGCTGGCAAGGCCAAGCGGCCCAAGGTGCAGCGCGCTGCGCGCTGCGCGGCTTGGAACAAGCAAATCACAAGCCTTCGGGTATAGCACACAAGGCTCTCGCGTCTTCCAAGCGGCTGAAGAAGAGCGTCGTCATGACGTACTCCCACGGCAAGCAGCGCGCCTGCGCTGCGGTTGCTGGCAAGATTCTCGTTGCCAAAGGCTCGTTTCATTGTGGTTTCTCTTCAGAACTGTCCTCCCAAACTCTCTGAAATAGGCTCCGGTCAGCTAGCGCATTTAAAACTGAAAGCCGAAAGGCGGCGCTTCCTGGGATGGCAAAACTCGCAAATCGCGCACCGCACACTTGCGGCACACCTTGGAGTCGGTGCAGCGGTAGCCCTGTGGCGCCTGCACAGCCCGCTGCCGGACCAGGCTCCCGTTCAAGTGGGAAACAATCTGCAAATAGTTTGCATGTGGTTGGTGGGATGCTGACAGTAATGACGATTCTCAAGCGAACCATACTATTCTCATGACATCACCAGACTGCCGCGAGGCTGAAACCAAACCCTGTCATCACTCACCTGCGCCCGGATTTGGATTTCGCGACAGAATTCCGTTCAGAGGTGCAAAGTTGATAGAAAATCATACATGATTTATACATGAATACAAAATGATTGCAATAGCTTTGTCCAGGATATGCCAGTCTAATGCGCGACATGTTGAACGTCTGACTCAGGTACTGGTATATACCAGGGTTGGTGACCCTCTAGTGGACATCATTCACACAATTCATGTGTGTCCACAGAATATTTTGAAGTGTTCCAAGCAGGAAGACTCATCGACCGACTGGCCACGGCCTGTGCATGCGCCAGGCCCTGCAAGCCCAGCACAAGCGCCGCCAGCCACAGCAGGCGCCTGCACGCTTGTCCCCCCACCCTCCCAACCTGTCCGACCCATACAAAACCTGGTGTATAGCCAACAAGGTGGCATGAACTCTGACATTTACCCATGAACTTTGACACATCGAAAACAGCTCCTCGTACATCCAGCTGGGCAAACGAGGGAATAGTCAAACGACGTTCCGCTTCAAGTGAGGCCTCTATGTTGAATCCCCGGGGAAATACACAACCCGAACATGCATGCGGCATGATGGATACGCGGCATGACTCATTTCCCCAGTCTGCCTTCCCTATGCCTCAGCTGCCGCGGCGCAGCGGAATAGATCGAGGCGCAGAGGTAGGCTGCAGCGCAAGCAGGCGTCGTAAAGAAGACACCCTGCTCGGACACCAACTGAGATGCAGCTCGCGAGGACTCAGAATCAGCATTTCTGGTCGCCGATTCCAACTCAGGCAAGGTGAGTTTTTGGTCTGTGTGTGTGCAGTCTATGTATTCTTCCTCTTCCAGTCACTTCGTCCAAGGAGAATCACTTCCAGACTCGTGACATGTCGGGGGGGCCGAAAAACGAGCGCTGGCCTCTGCAAAAAGAAAAAAGAAAAAATAGAATCACCTCACCCCATCCTCCCAGCAGCCCAGCACCCCCCCTTCCCCCCCTTCCCCGCCCTTGGCCCCATCGGCCCAAGGCGCCGGCTTCGGCACCAGCTCCGGCGTGGGCGGGGACCCCGCGCGCGCCGCGCAGAGCAGCGCCCAGGCCAGGGCCCCCAGCAGCGCCGCCTCGCAGCCCAAGCTGCGGCAAAGGGCCACCAGGAGCCACAGCGCGGCCTGCGGCTTCGATGGAGAGGGGGGGGAGGGTTTGGGGGGGAGGGTGGGGAGGGGGGCTGTTCCTAAACCCCACAAGAATGTGGAGGGTAGTTATTTGGGGGGAGGGTAAACAAATAACTCCACCAGAATGTGGAGGTTGATCAATCTGCCTTGCCCATTTTGGGCCACTTTCCCCATTGGGCGAGAAGTGAATATCGCCTTTTTCGCGGTTTCCCCCAATGGTCATCCCGTGCAAAGGACCTTTTGATCAAGCCCATATTATGATGTTTTAGCGAGATATGCCACATCGTGCTTCCTGGAGAAGGCGCTGGATGGACTCGTGTTTTGACATGTTCAGCTCCCGAGTCCTTGCCACTCCCAAAGGTCATGTCTCGGCCTCACCGAAACAACTCGGCAAACAGAAAATAAGACCGGCGGGGAAGAGTTGAGACAAACCCTGCGGATGACATGACTGATTGCTTCACGTCAGACATCTGCCAGCGCTGCGCTAATGGCAAGGAAAACACACAGTAGCAGTAATGCAAGTGCAGACTACGGATGCCCGTCAAAGCCATCCCTGTTGCCAGCCTCCACCCGCAGAATCCATGGATTCGGTGTGGTGGTGCGCAAGTGGAGGTGCATATTTCCTGGCGGGGTCTATTTCGTCATCTCAGCCACTGGTTATCACAATTAAACCAAGGAGAAGGCTGTCAATAAGACGCCATTCAATCAGGCTGCACGAGCGAAACCCTCGTCTGAACCCTCGTCTGAACCCTCGTCTGAGCCCTCATCTGAACGCTTCTGCCCAGCAGGGTTGTGAGTTCTATTCCTGAGCAGGCTTGAGCCGAAAGAGCCCTCTCCGTTTGCCAACATCCATGTACCCGTTGTACAAGGATATTTCCTTTGAATTCATCCTTGACATAGTGCAAACCCGAGCAAACATGCCTTCACTATCCTTCAATTCAACAGTCTCCCATTTGTTGCCTCTGTAAACATCAGCCCGCCAAAAGGAAACTCACTTTAAATTGTCCCAAAAGGTGATATTTCAACCAACCCTGTTCAAATCCGCCAAGGCCACCCCAGTGCTCCGGCGGCTCCAGCAGCTCTGCCAAGATTCCCAGGGAGTTCGTGCGGTAGAAACCTCGCGCCCAAAAAAGCGGCCGTTGGCCCTTTGGTTGGCCCCCAAAACGTAGGGCTGCCGGGTCCAACAAGGGATTCATGAGTTTGATAACTCCTCAACTATGCCGAAGGGATGGAGCTGTGCCCGTGTGTACGCTGGTGGCAGGAACTCTGGCTAGGCATGTCAGTGACGCCCGGACATGCACGGATGCGCCTGCAGTATTGCTCACAAGGTCACTCAGCAAGCTGTAGGGCCTCGGCGACTCGGAGCATCTCAACGGCGCCGAAACGTGAGGCAGCCATGGCATGCGGCCAAGTTGCCTGGAGATGAACTGCTGCCAGTTCCACATGGTCGGGTCCCTCAGGCGGAAGTGTCACACGTCTGAAGCAACCTGTTGCGGCCCCATCGACCCCTGCAAGCCGGTGAGTTTCCACCCAGAAACTTCCAAGTAAAAAATATCACACCTGGCAGCCATTTCGTTGGGTTGGTCAGTTTTAGTGCTGAAGCGACAAGTCCGCAAAGGAGCTGAAAAGTCTACTGGGGGCACCAGCGACCGCTTCCGTCCAATTGAAACCAAGAGCGTGCCCCTGTGGATTTACAGGGCTGTCCTCAACCATTAGACCAACTAAAAAGCCAAAACACTAAGTTGAACCGGATGAACCGCTGGGAGCCACCCAGCGTGCGCACCACGCGACGTCTGCGTCAGGCGGCAGGTCGGTGGTGAGCAGCGCGCGCAGCGGCAGCAGCAGCAGCCCCGCGTTCGCCCCCTTCAGCGGCGCCTGCCGCGCCCAGCGACGCGCCGCCCGCCGCAGGAAGTGGCAGAAGCCTCACAGGGCCTCTGACCCAATCAGTGCACCTCAAACCGCGGAAGCGCCAACATGGCCGTGCCGTACCCCCAGTGAAAATCCCAATCCCCACTAAAATAGGTTCTAAACTGGGTGGTGCACCTACACCAAAATGGTACCAGTGGTGTTGACCCACGGCCAACATAACATGGTCATCAGGATGATGAGTCTTGATTGGGGGGGGGGAACGCAAAAGCAATGCCTCGACGGTGCCTCGCAAGCATGTTGAAATGCTTACTTGGTTAGACAGGAGCCAATGGCTCTGCAGTCCCAGTTGCGAGAGCTGGCAAGAAATGTTCTCATATGCCCGTATTGTTTGCTTAATAAAGCAAACATGCATTGAATGACTTGCAACAGGTCGGTGAAAACCCGTGTTTCAGGTACCTCACAGTACCTCCTGCAGAAACATGAAACCTGGAGGCTCTCTCATACAACATTCCATATCCTAAGTTGCATTTCTCATCTTGACTGTTCCCTGCCTCGGGAGCGTCCTTGAAGGTGCGCTGACAGTGCCTGGGCGGTTTGGATCAGCTTCAGGAATGCCTTTTCGGACCCGCAGTGGAAACGCCAATCTCTTTCAACGTGCCTTCAATCACCAGAAGCCGGGCTCCGAAACAAGAAGTTGCAACAGAGCGGACGCCTCAAGCCCTGCTGACAATGCAAAGATGGGCTGCCAAGGCCATGGTGTTCGCGAGGATCTCTGCCATTGGCAGCCAGGTGCTCAGATATGGGAACACCTTGGGCGCAGATGGTCAAAGCCTTGTGAACCGCTCTCAATCCGAAAGCTCGCAACAATTGGGCTTCACAAGCGTTCCTCCGAATCTCTCAAAAAACCGGCTTGAACTCAGAATGCGGGTCAGACCGCATCGACCGGCACGCATACCAACTTCCATGTCCGGCACTTCCCATACCGCAGCCCACGCCTCACTGCCGTAGCGGGGCACGTGGGCAGCCACCACCAAGCAGCCCATGAGCACCTGCAACCATCCAAGAGCAGCCTCTTGAGGCCGCAAGCCACCGCACATGGAAGGCCTGGAAACGCCAAGCATTGAAGGCCCAGAAACGCCAACTTGACCACATCCCACGCCCAAAGTTTCAGACACCAAAGAGATCAGATTTGTTTTTACCGAGGAGCCCTCCAGAAATCCAGAGCTGGCGTGCCGCCAGGTTCCACCAGCGCCCGGAGCGCCCTTGACGCGAGGCTCTTTGACTACGCGATGCATCCAAAGTGTCAATCGATGAAATGATGAGTGAGGCGAAACGCTATTGTGTGCTCATACAAATGACTTCAAACCAATTGAGGCCCCTGGAGAACCCGCCCATCCATCGCCTGACAATCAGGAAGCAGCCTGGCAGCAAGCAAAGGGGCAGCCAGTAGAAATACCACATCCGCTGCCACTCGCAGTCCAAGGGCCACCTGCAAATGGGCCATAGGCTGCTCGTGAACGGCTTGTAACTAAGGGGCTTGAACAGCTTGGCACTCCTCGCACGTTTCACAATTCGCCATGTGGAGGCTTGCATGGGCATTTGCGCGGCTTCACCATTTCACCACTCAGGGTTGGTTTGCAGCCCTTGAAAAAAGCTGGCAGAAAGCTGGCCCTGGCCCTCCCCGGAACCTTCTCCTTCCCCTTCCGCCTGAGGCGGCACAAAGGCTGCAGCTCTCCGGCAGCCCGCGCCCGCATCTTCAAGCCCTGCTGCTTCAGCAGCGCCTGCAGCCGCCAGAGCTGCGCCTGCCGAGGGCTTTTCGAGCAACTGATAGGCAGGGGCCCTTCGTTGGAGTTGAGCCCGAACGAAACCATTCCATATAATTTCCTTGAAGGGATTAAGGGACCCTGGGTCACTCCCTGAGCAAGACCACTACCCCCAGTTGGTAAATTTGGTTCTTTTACCCTTCATAGTGGCATATCCCCTTCAACCCCCAAAAGTGGTTTGGGGGTTGTGGAAACCAGCTTTGAAACCAAGGCGCTTGGCCGAATGAACATGTTCCACGGGCAGAATGGGGGGGCTCGGGACTCGGGGCTCGCTTTGCCCGGCCTTGGCCTGCGAAGAGCTGTCTAGGCCGATGTCCGTGTACACGGCGTTTTCCCAAACGACATCGGAGCTCTCCTCGCATCAACAGCGGGCCTAGAGGCCACCATGTCCGCTAGGTTTCAATACATCGAGTGGGTTCCAACTTCAAGCTGTATGTCCTGATCGAACGATTCGAGCCTATGGCCCAACACAACGGGTTGCCCTCCCAAGCATTGTTCCAATCCCGTTCTAACGGTTAATGACCAAGCGAAGACGAGGCTTTCGGTGCTTGACCCAGGCCTTGAGGATGGCTTCAACACTCTTCTCCCATAGCCTGGCGGCAAGGGCTCGCTGCCAGGGAAAAACAACTCGGATCGGGCAAATGGAATCCGAATAGCGCGCGGCGTCCCGATTGGAAGTTGTTCAAAGCACACACACCACGATCATCCACGCAATGGCGTTCTTGTCCTGACCTAAAGACAACTGCTGAAGAGAGGGTCCCCCCTCCCGCCTGCCCAGTTGGAAGGTTAACGCCCTTCGGGTCCGCTCCTCTTGGCCCTCCTCACGGAGCCGCTGCATGATGGATGGATGGGCTTTCTGAGTTCTGGTGGTTGCGCCTGGTCAAACAAATCACGTATTCCTTCCAGAAAAAAACAAGGTCTATGCTCCGCGAGGCAATCCAAATTGACTGGCAAGCGGCTGACCGACTTTGCACCTTCTGAGTCTAGTTTAGTGGGGATTGGGATGTTGACGGACCCTTGCCATTTGGGTGAAGAGAAACTGAACGCCGATCCATCGGACAACTTTGAAGCACGCAGACTCCTGAATGCAGAACCAGCTCGCCAGGGCCAAGGCATCACCCTCGGGCGACAGCATAAAGAGGTCGAAGATGTGGTTGATGCCATAGTGAGTGGTGAACCGGCCTTGCTATAAGGCTGTGGGTCAAAAATGCGTACCCAACATGGGACCCTGGCAAATGGAACCAAAGACTACAACATGACGGTTTTCTGGTGGTTTTATTTTGACCCACACCTGTAAGATGTTCAGGGGTCCGCGTGAGGCAAGAGGGAAGCTTGCCAAAGCTGCCCCCAAAGCCGGACGCTCTCAGCTTCAGCGTGCTGCCACGTAACGCATTGCCAACAGCTCAACTCATCTCAGTATCTCGCATCTCCGGCTGAAAATGTGGTTCTATCCGGCAATTTGCAGCGGGGTGATCCCAAATATGCAAACACTGTTCTGGCCTCATTATTTTACCATGATCAAAGTCACACCCCTAAGTGGTGGGTTAAAGGGAAACAGCCCCATTTTCTGACTTTTTCATAACTCCCAGAAACCGAACCAAAATAATGACCCCAGCTGTTGGGCCCTCAGTCTTCAGAAGTCCCTCCAGGCCAGGCGCCGCTGCTGGTGTAGGGCCATTCCCGCCCAACGCCGGCCGAGTGTGGCTCCAGCGTGCCCAGGAGCTGCGTGGCCACGTAGCCCTCCTGCGAGCGCCGGGAAGGCGCCGAGAACCCTCGAAAAACTGCGGATGGACACACTTGACCCATGATCTGCGCTGGATGACCCATGCGCTGGAGCTCCGTCGGACAAGCCGGGAGCTTTGGGGCACCCCGGCCTGGCAAGGCAGCGGCGCCAGCGCGGCTGGGGCAACATCGAGGCAGCACAGCTGGAAAGTGAAGTCCCCATCCCAGCACGAGGCCTCGCCTGACGCACACAGCTGAAGCAACGGGAAGCCGCTCCAAGGTGGTGGACAAGCTGAAACAGTCGGGCCTGGCGGCACAATGTGCAAGTGCCTGGTGCCGTTCACCTGGCTGGAGGTCAAAGGGTGCAGTGGAAGGATTTTGGCAACCAGCTGCTCATAACTGTCTCAAGCATGCTATATCTGAGTGAAGCTGGGTCAATCCGGCACATATAATACATATTAGATTCGGTGCTGTGTTCCATCGACTGCTCGTGCTGGCCTTGAAGGTCTTGCGGCAACAGCTTGCCCAGGTGAAGTGACCCTGCCAGCATCCTGCAAATGCTCAGAGAGCATGGACTATGACGTTAATGCAGTCAATGAATTCTATGCGGGTTCCGCCATGTTCCCCTGATCGTGTTGGGGCCAGAATCAAGACCAGTCCGTCGGCCCGTTCCGAGGCTGGTCTCCTGGCTGCAAGCCCGCATAATTTGTGACCGCTGTGAAGGCTGCTTCGAAGACCTCGCAGGGGCACAAGAAAAACACCGGGTATGCCGAAAAGGTGCGCCAAAGAGGAAGCATCAGCGGTAATGGCCCAATTCAACGATCTCATGTTGCGCCGTTGGCTAACGAAGGCCGGGGGAAATGACATCTCTCGCCGACCTTTGAAATGAGCTCAAAAGCACCGCAGCTTGAAAACTGTCACATACTTGAGAAGCGACAAAAACCCAGTGACTGTGGGTTCTGCGAACATGATTCTGCTGGTTTACGCTTTACGATAACCCGACTGAACCAGCCAATAGAACCCCCCAAACTGAAGGACTGCTCAAATCCCCTCCGCTTTTCGGACGGATCGGCCGTTCCCCGGCCTCGTGACGGTCGAAGGCGGCCTGCAGTGGGAAGGGCCGGAGGCCCAGCGCTCGGAACCACAACTCAGCTGCCAGCAGCAGCCGCCCCATGGCATCGTTTTCCGCGGAGCTGACGTGAGGCTGGGTTTGCACGCAAGCGCATGCGTATGTAGATCAAACTGAACACGAGAGTTTGAGACGATGTGGCTCTTGCTGGAACCGGGGGTGGGTAAAGCGCCTTCACCCTCTGAAAATTGAGTTGGATGCGGGACTCGATGCGGACACATTGTGAAGTCATGACTGTGCCTGGCTCGAGCTGATCTTTGGCTGCCACGATCACGAGTCTGCGGAGATTGCTACCCCACAGGAACAATTTGCACAGTGGTCCTTCGCCAAAGCCCAACTTAAGAGATGAGCACAGGAATATCCTTCTTTGCGCATCCTCATGCCAGGATTATCATGCACTGTGAACCCGTCTGCAAGTAACAACTCTTCACTGGTTTTTAAAAGAAGATGCAACAATCACACCTGACTTTGGAATCTGTTTACGTCGTCAGGGGTCCACGACTGCGGGCCGCTGCCCGCTCAATGCTTGCAGTCGTGCGCTTCTCACGCTTCATGCGACATTAAACTCGCACAAGTGAAGCTAGCGAGCTGACGTCAGCTGCTTCGGCATAAGGAGGCACGGCCACAAGGAGAAAGGCCACAAGTCAGACACTGTGAGGTCCCAAACAGCTGTCTCTTGCAGGGTCTTGCCATCTTACCCAAAACGCATCCTGAAAGTCAAGCGAAGTCAAATCTCTTCTCCAATTGGAGAACACGCAGCGCAAAAGGAAGCTCTCCCAGAGCCGCCACTTCTGCTGTCACAGCTGGCACAAGCTCTGCTACTCCTTGCTGTTGGTGATATTGGCGAGAGCAATCATCCCAGCCCCTCCTTATTGTCATCATCAAGCCATACGCCTTGTGGGGATGAATCAAATCTTTGCAACAGCTTTTCGGGTTGCCTTTGATGCAAGAGGTGCATTCCCCACTGTGCCAGCCGGGCCCGTAGCCTGAGCGGCAGGGTGAGAGTGAAGCTACAGCCGGACTTGATGCCTTGCACTCTTGCACTGAGCCAGTTAAATGCTAAGCTGTAACAACGTACCGCGACTTGTACAGGGAGTCCATGCCAAATCACTTGCCGTCGCAGCACTGGAAGCCTCCAGCCCTTTCGCCTTTTCAGAAACGCACTGAGATGCGAGCTATGGCGATCAAGAGCTTGAGCAACGCAGACAGGGCCGAGGTCCTCCGCCCAGAGGAACAAATGCAAGCAACAGCCCCACATTTGCTCTTCTGACGGCGGTGGCAACAGACTTCCTCGTCTCTCTTGGGATTTGGAAGAGTTGGAGTTCATATTTTCCCAAAAGGGACTCCTACTCGCTGGGTTCCCTTACATCCCAAAGAAGCATCCAACGGACACACATAACCCCTCAGTCCTGGAGGCGGTGAGCTGGTGTGAGGTCGCCTCGTCAGAAGATAGGCGCGCTGAGCGTCCCAGCGTCCCCGGCAAGCCGAAGCTTGCGGGGAAAAACCAATGACTCCCCAATCATGCACAGAGTTATGCACAGGGTTGGATTTATATAGAACAAATGAGCCAGCAGAGCATCATCTGGTATTCCTTGTCCGTTTGAATTCCACACACTTTGTCCAATTCCACAAAAAACACACTGGGGATGTAGCAAGAGAAAACGTCCACACCAAGCTCCGGACCACCAATAGCTCAGCGGCATCTCTGGTGATCCCGGCCTGACCCCAAGCCCGGGCTGGTGCAAAGCGTCTCGGTCATTCTGCTTGGATCTGGTGTCAATATTCTAGGGGTACCTTCCCCATTCTTTCCAAATCAAAAACCCAGCAAAAACAGCCGGGTGTTTTTGAATACAACGATGGTTGAAACAAATGGGGAATCAACCCTAGAAATATGGGGTTGTCTTTGTTTCAGGGACCCCCCAAACTGATGGTTTTCCTGTTGGTGTTCCTCCTAAACCACCAAGAAAGGGGTGCCATCAAAAAAAGACACGCCCATGTGTGTTCTGTTTGGAGGTGAGTGGTGAGGACTGGCCAAGCAAAATAGCAATTGTACCTCGGCTCCGACACATTGATCACTCAGGCCTGGTGGGCTGGTCAAACTATGAATGTGTAGGTAGACATCAACAAAGTGCAAGCCTAACCTCACAGGTCACAACTTGACTTCACCAATCTGAACTCCTTGGAGCCTTGGCCACGCAGACGCACGACTCCCAACTCTCCCGCGCCGCCGCAGAGTGCGGCCCCGGGGGTGGGCACTGTAGATGCTGGAGCTGCGCGAACAGGAGCCCTGGCACGGCCAGCCCGCCCGAAAGCTGAAGTCCACGCTCCCCGCGATTTGAACATGGACTCCAGCGTCAGTGATAACTTATAACCGTCGTTGCAAAGTGCCTTGATCTTGAAGGGCTTACGTGATGGCAACCCAACATCGCCAGGCCGTTTGCGTTTGGGTGCTTCTTGCCTGATCTGCTGTCCCAATCAATCAATGGCGTCACGAAACCACGCCTCAAAATCGTAGAGTTTTCAAGCCCAAGGCGCAAAGCCCTGTTCCTGCCCTGTCAGTCTTACAACAGAGCTCAAGCCTCGCTGCCAGCAGCGACTTCCAGCTGCATATCCTTCAACTCTGCGAATGCCCGATCTACAGCGACGGGCGCAGTTTGTTGGTGTGTGTGTGTGTGTGCGCGCTTGGGCGTGCGCGTGCGCGTGGGAGCGCGTGCGCGTGTGCGGGTGTGCGGCTGGTAGCGTGGGGTTGTGGGTGTGTTGGCTCCTACATGGCAAGACAGGTAGTGAAGCCAATATCTATTTCCAACTGAATCGAAGACTTTGCGGTCATGGCGACTCACGACATTACGCTGACACTCGCCCAGATCTTAGTGCCAAAATAAGTCCGCATTCGATCCACATGCAAAGCTCGGATTGCAAAACTGTGCGGAGAGCACGTTGATCCACTCCAACTTCATCTGCGGCAAAGGGCGTGTGAGATACTGCTGGAATGAACACGGTTTCCGTGTAGCTGATCGTCATTGTCAACATGAAGAATTATATTCTTGGTAGGAGCGACAAAACATGCAAACTCTGTGTGCGTGATCCTTGGTCTTTGCAATATGTCCAGAAATTCCCGCCGTTCTATGTTCAAGCAGTAATTTCTCCAACGGCGTCTCTGCCCAAATCAGCACCGGAGCAGCTCTGAGTAGCGTTTTATGGAGGAGCTGCTGGGCAGGGTTCAAGACGGTTTCGGAGGTTGTGGGGAGTCCTGGACATTGCTGGAAATTCCTGGATGGGGTTTCAATTTATTTCGAATGGTCTGGGGGCGGGGGCTGCTGAATGGGGTTCTGAGGGCTCCATGAAGCAGTGCATCCAATCCAGGTGGTATGGAGCGGTTGCTTGAGCAGGTGTTGGTCTGGCTTTAGGGTCAGTTGCGGAAGGATTCTGGGGGTTGCTGTTGGGGACCCCCCCTGAGCTAAATTCCCCATGTTCCGGAACTCTTTCTTTGTGTCCACCTCCTTCAACCAGGCAACCGCTCCTCCTGCCGCGTGGCATCTGTCATCTCCTGGACACGCAGCAGGTCAAAGGGGCAACTCAACAGGGTGACCCTCACAACAACATCCCGCAACCAAAAACTAGAGCCACGGGTGGCTGGAAAGCGAGCGCTGCTCTGCGTGTGCAAGTGCTCGGCCCAAGAGTTCAGCGCAAGTTGCTCTGCGTGTGCTCTGTGCAAGTTGCGCAAGCGCTCTGCGCAAGTGTGCTGAGGCAGCTCGGCACAAGTTTCTCGGAGGAAGTTCTGTGACTCTGGGCAAGTTCTGCGCGCGCAGCGCTGGCCACAACACAGCAACCTTTCGACGTGTTCCAACTGTCGATCCGAACCTTTCAAAGTATACTTCGCGTAAGACTTTCGTAGTTTAAAGTTGCAATCTGCCAGCCGATGCGCTTCGTACAGCCGGAGCCTTCTGAAAGTGTGCTTCACGTACTACTTTCGTGCTTGAAAGTTGCGATTTGCCAGCCGTAGCTGCGAAAGTGCTCTTCGCGTATTACTTTCGTGCTTGAAAGTTTCGGCTTACCAGCCGGAGCTGCAAGAGTGCGCTTGGCGCATTGCTTTCGTGCTGCTGCCTTTCTAACTTAGAAACCGCGGAGACCAAGCAGAATTCGAGCCCGGGGCTGCTCGCTTCCAAGAGCAGGCGCGCAAACCACGAGACAAACTTTCAAGCCTCCATTCCAACTAGAGAAATAGCCTTTTACTAGTGTTTCGCGCAATACGCCAATCCTTGCAGAGGGTCGCGCGCGAAACGCGAAAATCGTAAAAAGTTCTCCGTTTTTGCGCTTCCGGACTCGGACCTGACACACGAGGCACAGGGCGGGCCCTTGAGGCGCCATCGGCGCTGGGGCCGCACAAAGACTGCAGGCCTCGGTGCCACTGCCCCTCCCCCATGTTCGAACCGAAGCTAAATCTGCTGCCACTGATGTTCAAGCCAAGTCAGATAATCTTCAAGCCGCGTCCATTCTTTCCTTGAGGGATAGTTCCCCCATTGATCCCGAATAGGTAGGATCACACAGATCACAAGGCACAATCATTGTATATGTGTCTCTCCTTAACGCCGTAGGTGGTCGAACAAGTGCGAGTATTTTCGAGTATTGTCTCCAGGAAAGCCACAATTCTTGAACCGTGACACATGGCCATACAACAAGTGCCAGTCACCCCGATCAAGCCCCGCAGGCTATTGTTCTCGTCGGCTCCGGCCTGCACCAGAGGCCCTGGAGACCCTGGCACGAGCGCTGACTGGTCGCTTCGAAGCAAATCAACAATTTCAGAACGGGACCCAGACTCGCCATCCACACTGCTTGGATCAAAAAACGGAGGGAGCTACAATCACATTGGTCTGAGTCGCTTTGGCGCACACCAACCATAGCCTTGGAATCTTGAGCCCACGCGTTGCTTCCCAGCCTTCAGCTGGCATGGACATGACTGGCATGCGCCGGCAGCTGCGGGGTCTGGCGAGGCCAGTTAAGATTGAACAGCCATCAGCGGCCAGCAGAAAGTATGTCATTGGTTTCAGTGGTTGATATACCACTCCTCTGCACACGGACAAAGAGTTCCCTTGCTCGTCAGTGGACTCGGAGGATCCGACTCGTTCAGCGAGGATAGTCACAACTCAGACGAAATTCCCATCAGACTCCAAGAGGCCAGAGCTGCCTTTACTCGACCGGCCCGCCTAACTAACCGCAGCTGCTTCTCGCAAAGCTCCAGCTTCGCCTGCGCTTCGCAGCAAAATGCACATGCAATGCAGCCCTACAAGTTTTGCTCAAACCAACTGAGCCATGCAGGAGCGGCAGATTTATGTTAGACCACAGCAAAAGATCCCGCCTGCAGCTCGCAGTTCAAGCGCATGACGTCGCTAGCTTCCTCCAGGGCCCCCTCTGTGTCGCGCCACTGCGCCTCACAAGTCTCTCAGATCATTCAGCTGAGAAACACTCGAGGGTCGCATTTGTGCGCATTCGGAGCAGTATCTCCCAAAACCCTTCCACCGCACCTTCCTCGTCTCCCAAGCGCCCATTTATGGGCGCTTGGTGCCAGATCCACCAATCCACCAACAAGTCCGATCCAACCACCCAAACCGGAAAAAAAAAAAAAAAAAAAAAAAAAAAAAAAAAAAAAAAAAAAAAAAAAAAAAAAAAAAAAAAACATGTGCTTCTGCAATCCCAACCATGCCGCCCAAACAAACCACCCAAAAACCAGCCCCAACCTGTGGCCTCCAGCAGCGCCATGTGCTTCCGGGTCTCCTGGAACTCGGCCTCCCGCTGCCGCAGCTGCCGCAGCTCAGCCTCCTGGAGCTCCAGCTGCGCCTTCCGGGGCAATTCGTCAGCCTTTCCCTGAAGTCGAAAACACCGGGCGGCTCAAAGTGACACTGAGTTTCGTCAAACTGGAAATAGTGTATAGAATTGGCTTAATCTTAATCTACTTGTGTTATTCATTTATTTATTTATGTATTTATTTATTTATGTATGTATGTACGTATGTGTTTAGTTACTTATTTATGTATGTAGTTATTTAAAATGTATTTATTCATGTATTTATTTATTTATTTATTTAGTTACTTAGTTAGTTAGTTAGTTAGTTAGTTAGTTGGTTCGTTGGTTGGTTGGTTGGTTGGTTGGTTGGTTGGTTGGTTGGTTGGTTGGTTGGTTGGTTAGCTAGCTAGCTAGCTAGCTAGCTAGCTAGCTAGTTAGTTAGTTAGTTAGTTAGCTAGTTAGTTATTTATATATAGTTATTTATATATAGTTATTTATATATAGTTATAGTGAATTATGTATTTATTTATTTACTTATTTATGTATGTATTGTTTTTGATTCATTTAGTTAGTTATTTATTTATTTAGTTAGTTAGCTAGTAGTTAGTTATTTACTTATTATCTATTTATTTATTCATTTGTAGTTCTATCTATATTTATACTTATATATGTATATACATATTATTATAAAGAAAGGCAAGAAATCATAAAGTTGCAAACCGCCCAACGGCCGTCACCTCCCACCAGCCGCGCGCCCCATTTCGCCCCCGCGCCCCCGCGCCTCGGCCTCCGCCGCGCGCTTCCGCGCGAGCTTCAGCTCCTGGTCGCACTGCTGCAGCTTGGCCTACGGTCAACGGCATGTGACGACATGGCTGTGGCTCAACAAACCGGGAAACATGGACCAAAACCTGCGTAACAGCTCCAAATTAGACAAGGTCGCGCGGTGTTTTGGTCTTTGGTTCCATTTACCAGCCATGTTGGTACGTGTTTTTTTCGACCCAACATCCAAAAGGCGTGTCAAGTGGCTGTCAAAACCATTGAAAGGACCCTTCCTTTCAAAGGAAAAGAAAAAAAGTGCCCCGACCGTGCAAGAGAGTCCGTACCAGAAGACAGGGAAGGCCACACAAAGACTGCAGGAGAAAGGGAGGGAGGTGGCATTCTGATTGGTCTTGAACAGAATGATATGCGGTGGCATTGTTGTTAATTTTCAACGAATGGAGATTGCATTTTATTTGTCGTAGCCCGGGGAGACTACAGCAAGGCTGCAGGAAGACTACGGGAAGAATATGGGAGAGGTAGGCAGGGGGGACAAGACTACAAGAGTACGGGAGAGGGGGAACGAGGTGGCATTCTTCTTATCTTCAAAAAAAAGAAATGGGGGATGCATTGGTTTTGTTTGATGAAGGAAATGGCAAAGCATGAAGTTTGGGTCGAGGAGGGAGGAGCAGTAATACTATGTCCAACGTCATGGGACAGGGGGGGTACTGAGTGTGGTTTGTCCATGGCCGTCGATGTTGCTTTGCGCGTATGACCGGGTCCGCGGTTCCAGCATCCAATCTCCATGTCTAAAACATGGGGGATGGGCAACGGATGCAACTATGACCCGCAGTTCCAGTATCATGAAGGATGGGCAACGGCAGTACAGGGGAAAAACATGTCACACTCGAGGGGCGACCGCAAACCCTCATGCTGGTTGCTTTGGATCGTGTTTCAAAAATGCATGATCGACGGCCTTTGAAGCTCAAGCAGGCAAATGCTTTGACTTACAGAAAGTACAAGCCATGGCCAGGTACCAATTAAAATGGAACCTGGCAGGAAGGCCGTTCCAAAGGAAAATGGTCTTCAAAAACCCCCGAACTAGGTTCCATGCGAAAAAAATCGTTTGTCGCAGGCTACCCCGATCAGGGAATACCCGAATACCTCAACTCAGTGCCATTCTGCCACATGGATAACTGTGGTAATTCTAGAGCTAATACATGCGCTCAAACCCGACTTCGCAGGAGGGTTGTGTTTGTTGAATACAGAACCAACCCAAGTGGAAGGTGATCACGTTTTGGGGCCACCGAAAACGGACCAACTCAGGGCGACCAAAACCTATCCGCTCGGCGCCAGCTCGGCCGCCTGAGCCGCTGTGAGCTCCAGATCCTTCGTGCGCGCGAAGCCGGTAAGGGCAGAAATGGAATGAACCCAAGCCGTCCAACTTGGTTTCCTTTAAGGGGAGGTTCATTTTCCCACCCTTGCTTTGGTTTGCCCAACGCTTGGGGTCCCTAAGTTGGGGACACGGTTCGGCCCGCGCCACAAGAACCCCCCAAAGTCCGGCGCCTCCTCTCGTGAGACGCGCAGCTGCGAATGCTCGCCTCAGCTGAGCCCCGCAACCAACTGCGCGCTGACGGCGAACGCTGAGAGCAACAGAACGGCCGCATGTGGTCTTACGTTTCGGTCGCAGCCTCTGCTCGGCTAGAGGCAAGTGGAGTTGTTTTGCGTGCATCTGGTGTTCTTCGCCTCCAGCCTCCAGCCAAAAGCATGTCCAATTAAATGGCAGGAGGCCACAACTGGACAGGGAAATGTCAATGCAGGGAGACAAGCAAAAACAACCACATCACAGTAGCTTGAACCGTACCTCCCAGCAGCAGTTGCCTCCCTTCTTTGGCCAACACCCACTTGCCATCTGCAGCAGTCTTCGGATTTGTCTAAGCATGGCTCAGCCCTGGAAGGTTGCGGAAACAAGCGCAGCTGCTCAACATCAACAGATGCAGGTGGACAAAACCACATTGGTTGCCTGAGTGGCCGGTATCTGACAAATCTGGCACTTCCCTTGCGGAGAAACACGCTGGCCAAAGACAACCTGATCCCCAGAACCTCTCCGCACTGCTTGCCAGGGGGCGCGCATGGGTTTGACTCCAAAACAAAAGGTTTTCCTTTCGAGCTCCCTTTCAAATCAACCAAAAAGGGGGGTCCCCTAAACTAAAACGCCCCCAAAACTCGGGGACCCCCAACCAGGGACGGGTTTCCCTCTCGGAGACACTCCTCCCCGGTCACCGTCCACCATCTCGGCGCCAGGCTGCGCTCCTTGCCGCGCGCAGGGGCGCGCCGCCAGGACCAGCCTCCGAAACCCAAACTCACGCGGCACGAGGCGCCACGAGGCGCCACGAGGTGGCTCAAAATGAAACGATCGGAGGGGCAAACCGCAGGTGTTGGTCCATGTCTCCACTTACCAGGGCAACCCATTTTGGTACCGTTTTTTTCGAGCCACGGCCTTGTGATGAACCGTGTCGGGCGCTGAATACCGAGACTGAGAGTCAGCGAGCCCCCCCTTTCTGAGAGTCCCGGATACTCTGAACACAACAGAATAGGTCCAGCACGACAGGAAGTGATGAGGCCATTGAGGACTCAACTGGTCATTGGAATTCTATGCAGCTCCTTCCACCCGTATTGCAATGGCTCGACATTGCTCGCCAGGAGTTGGTCAAGCCAGGTCACCATGTAGCTCTGCAATGAGCGTTCATGCTGAGGAGACTCTATACTCCCTAAAGAATGTGATTACAAGGAGATGTGGTCTTGCATGAGCCAGTGTCACATGTGTACACACTGCCATCGAAATAGGGAATATGGATGCGGCAACAACCGCCCGTCCTGCATGGAAAGGGCTGAGCAGCCATGGAAGGCATCCCCTCGCGTCCGAGACTGTGGGCCCCGGCAGAGCCACACCACAAGCAGCGCCAGCGCCGCGAGGGCATGGGTGATGCCGAAGTGCGCGACGAGAAGAGTCTTGTTTGCGGCTCCAAGCAGAACTCTGCGTCGTTCTCACACTTGACACATGTGTAAACTGAAACTGACAGCACCCTCCCATTTTGCGGTCTTGTTCCCCACCCACGACTTCCAAAGGCGACTCCCGCCTCGCTCCCGGCCTCCATGGCGGGGCAGTGGCTCGAGCCGCGCTTCCGGAGAGAGTCAAGAGAAGCATCTGGTCTTACATCCTGCTAAAAGTTTAACTTGTGGGATAAGCTTGGAAGCTACCACTAAACCCAAAAGTTGAACCGGATGAATCGCTGAGAGCCACCATATGACAATTATTTTCCTTGGGCCCCTGGCATCAATTTGGGGCTTTGTCCACCATCTTCGTCCTTTATGCTGGATTCATAGCCAGAGTGAAAACTCAACTGAAGGATTGACGAAATGGTGGCCGCTTCCTCTTTTGTGCCACCAACAAACCTGACCAGGGTCCAACAAAAACAAAACAATCCGATGTTTGGCAACCGCGTCATGGTGCATGTGTGTACGTGTGTGCTCTGAGCACGTGCATGGTTGAGTCGACTATACTCATCAGATGAGGTCACTTCCACCATAATACCCTTCGGACCATTGCTCAAATAACATGCTCCACTCCACTCTTGGTCGCCAAAAATATCAACTGTCAGAAAGCTCCACATACACCTCGCTTGAAATGCTTGAACATTCTCGGCATCTTTTGCTCCTTTGGTTCTTGGGTGAATGCTGGCTGACAGCTTGGCTGTAGCCATGGCCCTCTGCTAAGTCAGACCACTCCCAGGACACGAAGCGACTTGCTTTTAGCATGTATCAAGCATTCAGAGTCTAACCTTGATCTGAAGTGGTATGAGAAACTGCGCGCAAGCCTTCGGCCGAACGCCGTTGCCGTCATTAGCCAAATTCAGCGCGAAACAAGCACCGACCTGCGTCCAAATCAGCGCCTCTGCATCCGGCTCCGCAACTCTCGAGCCTGGGACGCGTCATTTGTTTTCCAACTGAAGGGGTTTGTCGTGCAAGCCAAAGTTCGTATGACAATGAGCGGACATGCTACAGCTCTTGGTGCCACCTGACGTACACTGGCCATTCCAGAATCCCGTTTTTCCAGCGCTTCCTTTACAAGATACTCGCGCACAGACTGGCCTGAACAATGCAAAAGTGCCAGTCGAGGGAAAGAGGCAGTGCCCAAACCCAGAAACAATTCTCTGGGTGAGGCAAATGGATAGTTTACAGCGCCTTGCAAAAGGAGCTCTGCCTATAACCTTTCCTAATATGCAACATGCAAATTTCAGATTCCGGCTAGCACAAAAGTTCTCGTCTCTACAGGGAAGGCAATCTGTGGTAGGAAGAAAGTCGTCGCTTCTTCCAGCTAAGCAGGGACTGCGCCCGTGAGGACATCTCTTGGGGGGTGCCACGCATCACTCGTGCGGCAGCCATGACCACCGCATCTACGGTGAAGCCGTACTCTTCCTGGACCAAGCTCTCCGACCCAAGAAGGGGTTGCTGATATCAATGGTCCAGATTTGAATTTGTCATGCTCCGGCTGGGCCGAGAAGGATGGGCCAGGCTGCAAAACTGCTGCGCTTTCGCCGTACACTTTTGATGCGCTGTCTCGTGTTGACGTGTTTGGCTTGGTCTAGTTCACCAAGGTCTGGTTGAGGGCTGGTATGGGATGAATTAAGGATTAGTTTCTAGCAACTTTAAGGAGTTGGTTCAGGATGACTTTAGCCTTTTTTTCAGGGCATTTGGAGTGGGTTTTAGGTTAGTTGATTTAAGGCTTGGTAGGAATGGTTTAGGATGGAGGTACGGACAGTTTTCATGGGGGGGTTATGGTTGGCTTTAGGTTGGCGTAGAGCAAGGTCAGGGTAGGTGTTGGCGGGATTGAGGGCTGGTTTTGGCTGTTGGGATCGGTTTAGGCTTATGTTGCGCTTGTGGGTTTGGGGCAGGTTTAATGTGTGTGTGTATGTGTTTGTGTCTGTGTCTGTGTCAATTTCTGTGTCTGTCTCTGTGTGTGTGCTTCTGTCTCTGTGTGTGTGTGTGTCTGTAGGGTGGAGTTCGGGTTGGGCTTGGGGTGGGTTTGGATTCGGGCAGATTTCAGGGGTTGGTTCTGGGTTGGTTAAGGGTTTGTTCTGGAATCCAACTCGGGTAGTTTTAGGGTGGGTTTATGGGTGGGCGTAGCGTGGGTTTGGTGGCTGAGGGCCCGAAAATCCACACAAAGCGGCAAAGGCGAGGCAAAGTCACGAGAGCCACAAAAGAGGGAAAGCATGCCTAAAACTTGAGAAACGAGCTTTGCCTGTAGCAAACTGATGGCAAGTATGTTGTTTGCAGGACCTCGGAGCGCAAGCAAAGCTCGCCTTGCCAACCCGCCTGCACTCTCTTCCCGGGCCCTGAGGCTCCGAAGGAGATCATCCCCACGTGCTCGCCGTCCAGGCCGATCAAGGCGCCCCAGGAGTCGCTGCGGCCCGCCTCCAGGGAGACGCGCGCGCGGCAGGCCCTCGGCAGGACCGAGTCGATGTAGTCCTGACGAAGACATGCCAAAAAAAAAGGATGGGACGAGCGGAGGCGTTTTTTTATCTTTCCGGAGTTCCAATGTGCGGCCCGGTCCTGCGGCTGAGTTTTGAAGAGCTCCATGCAGGGCATGCTCACAGACCTCACCTTGATGCCCCTCCCGGCCAGCACTTCGTGAGCTTGCAGCATAAGGTGAACCTTGGCACACCGAACTCACCCAAAATGCTGGAAACTCCATTCACTTTCTGGGGAGGTCCTCTCTCCAAACCTGTTGAAAGGTCTCCCGGCCTCGCTGCCGGTGGCCATCAAGATCAAGTTCGGCATGCCCTCGCTGTCGGCCAGGACATAGCCACCCCGATGGAGGCCGCTGGCCGATGCAAACTTCTCACGATCCAAGGTGGGCAGCGCCTGCCGAGAGAGGACCACGGCCACGGGGTCCTACGAGACTAGGCCAAAGGCCACATTGAGGCAAGCGTCAAGCCTACATGTGTTTTTCTTCGCCTGGCAAAAAGGCCAATTGAGTCATAGTCAAAACCCGGTGTTACAATGGTCGACCCAGAACTATAAAGAATTAAGAAAGCGGATATCCGGGATTGTCCCTTACTAACCTTCACTTCCCAGGGTTTTGATTGTGACTCCATTCGGCCAATTAGGCTTCTCCTTCATGGGCACCACCGCCTTCCACATCTCCAGGCACTCATTGGCGTCGCAGGGCCGGAAGACGAAGAGCCCCGGGATGCTGCGGAGGGAGCAGAGCTGCTCCACCGGCTGATGCGTCGGCCCGTCCTCGCCCACGCCGATGGAGTCGTGCGTGAAGACGAAGACGGAGGGCACCTCCATGAGCGCTGCCATGCGGATGGGCGGCCGCATGTAGTCGCTGAAGACCAAGAAGGTGGAGCCAAAGGGCCGCAGCTTGCACAGCGCCAGCCCGTTCATGATGGACCCCATGGCGTGCTCCCGGATGCCAAAATGCAGGTTCCTGCCCCCGAAGTGGCCCCAGCGGCTGGCGGGGGGCAAGAAGTCCGCCTCTTTGGTCAGCGTCGTGAGGCAGGAGGAGGCGAGGTCCGCGGAGCCGCCGATCAGCCAGGGCAGGCCCTTGGCCACGGAGTTCAAGCAGGCGCTGGAGGACTGGCGCGTGGCCAAGCCCTTGGCGTCCGCGGGGAAGGCCTGGCAGAAGCGATCCCAGTCCTGCGGCAGCTGGCCGTCCAGCATGGCCTGCAACAAGGCGCCCTCCTGGGGATACTGCACGCGGTACGTGGCCAGCATCTGCTCCCAGTGCTGCCGCTTCGCACCGCCACGCTCCAACATCTGCTGCCGGAAGTGGCCTACGACTTCTTCCGGCACCAAGAACTTCTCATCCGGCCAGTTGTAGATGTGCTTGGTTGCGGCGACCTGCAATTTCTTCATTGCACCCTTGAACAAATGAATTCCCAACAGCTCTCTCTTCAAGCCCTTGTTTCACCATCTGCTTCAGGCCTCCTTCTCGCCCAAAGGAGTGCCGTGCGCATGAAAGGAGTCCTGCATCGTGGGGGCACCCCACGCGATGTGGGAGTCCACCACGATCAAGGTGGGCCGGTCCTGACAAAATCAACCGAAGTCATGATGTGCACAGGGTTCTGAAACAGTTTTGAGGGCGCTCAACTGAGAAAGACGTAGGCCCCCTTCAAGTAGTCTTGTTGTTTAGTATTGGTTTGGTATTGGCGTGGTTTGTTGTGTAGAACTGCTTGGTATTGTTTGGTATTGTCTGGGGGACACTTTTTTCCTAGGTCCTAGGTACCCTTGTTCATATTGGGGGCACTGAACAGTAGAGCAAAAGTTGTCATGGTGTCTCACCCCTTCACTAATCTGGCCCGACCATTAGTGCTCTTGCGATGCACACATGCTCCTGCTCACGCCGGAAGCTCAAGAAAGCTCTTGTGAGCGCTTCCACATCGTTTGCATCCCCCACGCGAAGCACATTCCAACCATAGGCCACAAAACGCGTAGCGATATCTTCTGAGATCGCCCACGCAGTGTTGCCTTCAATGGTAATCTGATTGTTGTCCCAAATCCTCGGTCTGTGGCAAAGCAGCAAGGCTTAGGAAAGCATCATTCAGTCACAGCATACCATGCCAATTGAGTCCACCAGCTGCAGGCCAGGAGCCAGCACAAATTGTTCAGCTTCAAATGACCAGCCAGGCTCGCTGCTTCCCCGCTCACGCCCTCCTGTCGGGGCAGAGTGGTGTGTCCATGTGTGTCTGTGTGTGTGTGTGCGAGCTGTGTGCATTGTGATGTGTGTTGGTGTATGCGCGGGTGTTATGTGTGTGTGTGTGCGTTGTTGTGTTGCGTGTGAATGTGTCTTGTGTATCTTTATTGTTGTTTGTACGCTGCCTGTTGTGTGTGTGTGTGTGTTGCGATTTGTGCTCTGTATGTGTGTGTGTGTGTTGTGTCTGTGTGCGTGTGGTGTGTGTGTGTGTGTGGCGTGTTGGCGTGTGGCGTGTGGCGTGTGGCGTGTCGTGGTGTGGCGTGTTGCGTCTTGCGTGTTACATGTTGCGTATTTGGAGTTAGGTTGTTGGGTGTTGGGTTGTTGGGTGCTGGGTGCTGGGTGCCGAGTGCTGGGTGCTGGGTGCTGGGTACTGGGTGCTGGGTGCTGGGTGTTGGGTGTTGGATGTTTGTACTTGTTCCTTTGCCTGGCTTGTTTCTGTGTCTGTGTCTATGTTTGTGTCTGTGTGTATGTCTGTGTCTGTGTCTTTGTGTGTTTTCATTTTGAGTGCGCGTTGCGTATTGTGTGTGTTGCATTGTCTACCATGTTCTTAAAGAACTCCTGGTAGCCCCTTCGCTCCCTCTTCAAGAAAACATCTGTATTCCCGCAGCGCCTTAGCTCCCTTCCAACCACCAGCTAGTTGTGCTTCATGTCTTGTGTGGTGTGTGTGTGTGTGTGTGTTGTGTTGTCTGTGTGTGTGATTATTGTGTGCTACCATGTGTGTGTGTGTGTGTGCAGGAACCGAATTGAAGCGGATGCGCTGTGTGACATCTCGGTTTGCGACGCTGAGAGAAAGCTCACCAAATTGAGCCTTGCTCAGTTCTGCCAGACACGTGCGACGCAGCTGGCACAGCCTGCCTGCATGCATCCATCACCAGCCAGGGCGAAGACGTCAAAGCCAAAGAGCGGCAAGTCCGGCTTGTTGAAGTTGGAGGCCAGCCACTTGGACGCGATGGCCATGCCGACGCTGGTTGCAACCCCCTGGCCCAGGGGGCCTGTGGTCATCTCCACTCCGGTCTCGCCGACCTCTGGGTGCCCGGGACATTTGGAGCCGAACTGCCGGAAGCTCTTGATGTCCTCCAGGGCCACGGCCATCTTCCCCGTGAGAAGGCCATCCTGCGTCACCTCCTTGACGCCAGCCACATGCAGGAGACCATAGAGCAGCATGGAGGCATGGCCCATGGAGAGCACGAATCGGTCCCGGTTCATCCAGTGGGGGCACTCGGGGTCGTAATTCAGCACTCGCGCCCACAGGGAGTAGGCCACAGGTGCCATGGCCATCGGCGTCCCAGGGTGCCCCGAGTTGGCCTGCTGCACTGCATCCATGGCAAGGCTCCGCAGGCAGCTGATCACCAACTCGTCCCGCTTTCGCGTCTTCTCTTCGGACTTCCGTTCCTTGGAAGGCCCGAAGATCAGGTCCTCGATGGTGAGCATCTTTGCTTCCGCCATGGCGTGGGTGGCGTGGGAGCTGAGGCCGGCTCTGTGATTTGCCTTCTTCGTCTGAATGAACCGGAATCCGAAAACAAACCGCTTGCTCCGACCTCTGGACCTCTGACAAACCCTAGGTGCAAAGCGTTCAAGCCGAGGCAGCGACTTCTTGCAGCATGCCGACCTTGCGCATGCGCTCAACGAGGTTCCTTAGAGTCCGCCATCTACGCGCCAACTCAAAGCAACTCGCCCTTTGGAGCCACACTCCCCCGTGAAGGGCCCATGGTCCAGCTCATGCAGGTACAAAGGCAGCGCGCTGGCAGAGTCCCCTGCGACATCTTTACATGGGTGTGGGTCAATATTAAACCACCAGGGGACCGCAGATTTGAGTCAATGTTTCTATTTACCAGGGTTCCATTTTGGGGTTACCCTATTTTTGACCCACAGCCACATCCACATGTCACGACTTTCGCAAGATCAGCATGGCAGGCCTAACTCATCCAGGGTCAAAGCCCAGTTGTACAGAGTAGAAAGGCCTCAGCGCGAGTCCATCTGTCACGAGCTTTGCCTTCATGACCAAACAAAATCTGCTGAGCAGAGACAAGGTTTCGCTCTAAGCACAAGCACAACTTCTGTGCTGACCTCTGTTACGGTTTGATCCATCAACCCTTGACTGTTTTGACAAAATGCTTCAACTTCGGAGTCTGCCTGCCCTGAGGGCTCTGCTTGTGGGATGAAGGTCGCCGAGCTTCTCAACTATACCAATAGAGGCCTCCTAGAGAATGCACAGACAACCTTGCATGTTGCAGGAATACTGAATATTGTCAAATGCCCGCAAATGCCTCTCATGCGTGCTTGCCCTGGCGCACAGGTGGTCCTTGTAGCATTCCTCTGCGTCATCAACCTGCCCAGCTTGCTGTCAAATCATCCAACCCTCCTTCAATCAATCAAGCTGCTACCACAACATTCAAGAAATCAAAGCCTTGACAAACATATTTTGAGTTGGTGTGTGTGTGTGTATGTGTATGTGTATGTGTATATGTCTGTGTGTGTGTGTATGTGCATGTGCATGTGTATGTGTATGTGTATGTGATGTGTATGTGTATGTGTATATGTGTATGTGTATATGTGTATGTGTATATGTGTGTGTATATGTGTATTTGTATATGTGTATGTGTATGTGTGTGTGTGTGTATGTGTATGTGTATGTGTATAGTATATGTGTATGTGTATGTGTATGTGTATATGTGTATGTGTATGTGTGTGTGTGTTTGTGTGTCCATGCGTGGCAGGAGTCGGAATGATTCTGTGCCTCCTCTGCGTGCGCTCGTGTCCATGTGTCTGTCCTTAACGTCACCCTACCAATTCAGGCTGTCGAATATGATGATGGAAAATGAATCGCAAATCCTAAACAAATAGATGGAAAAATCCATTTCCGTAAGATTATGTCTCCCACAACCCTGTGTGCCTTTTCATTGGGGGCTGAGGATGGGGGAAGAAATACCTATGGACGCGGGAAATGTATGTGTATGTGTACGTGCACGTTTACATGTACTTGTGTATGTATGCATGCATGTATGTATGTACGTATGTGTGTATGTAAGTACGTATGTACATACGCGTGAATGCGTGAATGTATGAATGTATGAACGTATGAAAGTATGAATGTATGAATGATTGAATGTATGCATGCATGAATGCATGAATGTATCAATGTATGAATGTACCAATGAATGTATGTATGTATGTATGTATGAATGAATGAATGAATGAATGAATGAATGAATGAATGAATGAATGAATGAATGAATGAATGAATGAATGAATGGAAGAAACAAATGAATGTATGAATGAATGAATGAATGAATGAATGAATGAACGAACGAACGAACGAATGAATGAATGAATGAATGGAAGAAACAAATGAATGTATGAATGAATGAATGAATGAATGAACGAACGAACGAACGAACGAATGAATGAATGAATGGAAGAAACAAATTAATGAATGAACCAATGAGCGAATCAACCAATGAGCGAATGAATGAATCAATGAATGAACGAATGAACGAATGAACGAATGGACGAACGAATCAATGAATGAATGAGTGAGTGAGTGAGTGAGTGACTGAGTAAGTGAGTGAGTGAGTGAGTGAGTGAGTGAGTGAATGAATGAATGAATGAATGAATGAATGAATGAATGAATGAATGAATCAATGAATGAATGAATGAATGAATGAATAAATGAATGAATGAATGAATGAACGAATGAGAGAGTGAGCGAGTGAGCGAGTGAGCGAGCGAGCGAGTGAGTGAGTGAGTGAGTGAGTGAGTGAGTGAGTGAGTAATTAAGTGAGTGAGTGAGTGAGTGAGTGAGTGAGTGAGTGACTGAGTAAGTGAGTGAGTGAATGAATGAATGAATGAACGAATGAACGAATGAACGAATGAACGAATGAACGAATGAACGAATGAACGAATGAACGAATGAACGAATGAACGAATGAACGAATGAACGAATGAACGAATGAACGAATGAACGAATGAACGAATGAACGAATGAACGAATGAACGAATGAACGTGAGTGAGTGAGTGAGTGAAATGAACGAATGAACGAATGAACGAATGAACGAATGAACGAATGAACGAATAAACGGATGAACGAATGAACGAATGAACGAATGAACGAATGAACGAATGAACGAATGAACGAATGAACGAATGAACGAATGAACGAATGAACGAATGAACGAATGAACGAATGAACGAATGAGTGAGTGAGTGAGTGAGTGAGTAAGTGACTGGATGAATGGATGAATGAATGAATGAATGAATGAATGCAACTCAATGGTTGGATGGATGGATTGATGGATGGTTGGATGGATGAATGAATGAACGAATGAATGTATGAATGAATGTATGAACGGATGAACACAGTAAAGAGTGATTGCATCCATTGACGGATGAATCAATGGGATGAATCAATGAATGACTCAATGTAGGAATGCAGGCATGTATGACTGTGTGCATGTATGAATAAATAAATGTATGAATGTATGAAAATGTATATGTATATGTACATTAATGATATATGGAATATGATATATGAAATTTGTATATGTGATATGTGCTTGTGGACAAGAGCAACTATTGGTACAAGATCCGATTATGTTGCGGGACACACTATCTAAGATGCGAGAAACACAGAATGTAACAGCCGTAGCATCTTCAAAGGCCATTCTTGGAACGCGTTGTCCATTTGAGGGTTACATTGAAGCAGTATGCCCCAAACTGCCTAGGCAAGGTCCTGTTTCGCTGTATCAACAAGCGTATGTTCGCTGTGCAAACTGCAGCAGCTGAGCGCCTGCTGGTAAACTTCAGGCCACAGTCCGACGGCATGCTCAACACCAATTGCCTGACTGCCTATATTGGTTTGACAACATGTTTGTCAATGTTGCAGATCGTGCCTCTCCAAGTGATCGCAGCACCCCACCAAGGTTGTTGATGCATGTCAGTGTGTCCTTGGAAGACAGTCTCTGAACATTGGACCATCGAGCTCTGGCTGACCCCCCGGTTTTTTCGGAGCGAGCATCCAGATGCTTGTCGCCTTGAGCTGCGCGCAGGCCTGCCACCGCCTTCTCGTACATCAGCTTGGCTTTGTCTAGCTGCCCCCGATCCTTGTGAAGGCCCGCCTCGGGGAAAAGGAACTCCGATGGCAAGGAACGAAGCGCAACATGATGCAACAGCATCAAGACTGGCGAACATGACAAGCACTTTCGCCCAGTTATCGCGCCGGGTGTCCAAATTGTTCATGGCTCTCCTCAGATTGGGACACATGAGTGCAGAAGCAACAGCAACTGCGGTGCTAAAGGCTCTGCTATTGATATGAATCAACCATCTTCAATCTGATACGGCTGCAAGCAAAATCAGTAGCATGCTAAATATCAGACACTCGTGGACCCCTGCGACGCTGACTGCTCTTGTCGTCGCACGCGCCAGAAAGTGAAAGTGCGCACATACAGCGGTGGCAGAAAGGGTTTGTGTGCCAATACGTAAAGAAACTGGAAAAGAGAAAGAGAGAGGGCAAGAAGGAAACAAACAAAAAAGAAGGAAAGAAGGGAAGAAAGAATACAACTAAGGAAGGCACCACAGAAAGAAAGTCGAACACAGGTGGCCCGAAAGCTGTTTTCGCACATGAAATCGATGCCAACCTTGATGGTACTTTGCAATAAATATGTTGCTATGTTGCAAAAGTCTCAACGTAAGCACATCTGGTCAAAACCATGATGAAATACCTCCATCAAATCTGATCAAACTGCTGGTTCAATCTGAATCGAACCTGAGCGTATCTGGACAAAACCATCAAATCCGATCAAATTGCCTGTCCTTTGGCCACAGACCCCAATCCCTGAGCCACCTAATTTTCTGCAGAGGCACAGCGTGACTGGATGCCGCGTCCCAAGATAGTTGCTGCCGGCCACAACGGCCTCACAGGTCCAGTGGAAAAGGACGCCTACTCCCTTTACCCTCTCTGCAATTTTCACCTGATCGCTTGTCAGTCGGCTGCTTGGGTGCTTGAAAAGACCAGTGGCCTCCTTCAGAAGTGCTTCCGCTTTGTGCTGCTGTCTCGTTTCCTCCCGCGGATCACATTTTCGCCGGCATTCCTGGCCACTGGTAGTGGTAGCCATGCACCAACCCCACCAACCAGTTTGCTTCACAAGACCGGCTCCTCAGCATTGTCCTGAGCTTCGCATGCACGCAAACACCAGCACTTGCTGAGGCGAAGCCAAAATTACCAAGATATGAACATGTATGGACCATATGATCATCTCAAAACGGATGCAACTCTTCAGTCTCTGGCCATGGCATCCGTTAGCTGCCAAGACTCCATGGCAACTGAAGCGCAATTGTTCATACTGATGATGGTATCCATGTGCCTGACCCCAAAGATCTTCCGCCGGCCAACCAAGACCTGCTCGAAAAGCTCCCGAGCTTTCGCAGGCTGGCCGTGCGTGCGTAAGTAGAGGGCCATATTGCCTTAACGCAAGCGCGAGCCAAGTAGCTGATCGCAAACACTGCAAGTTCAGTTGGTGTCCAGGCCATCCAAGCGAAGTGTCGCCCAAGCAATCAAGTTCCCTGACAGACTGCAAGCAGCTTCAGTCTTCGAGCAAAGGAGCCAGCGCTGGTCAATGTGTCAGGATGAGAAGATCCAAGTGTATTGCATCGACGCTCCAAGCACTCCTACGGGGCACAGCATAGTTGCAGGCAATGTCCCTTGCCGTCTGAGACTCCTATGCACTCTGTTACTCGCTCACCTACCAAAGAATGTTCTTCAATTAGCGCAAACACACACACACACACACACACTTACACAACAAAGCTCTCTGATTGGATACTTTGGCGTCTTCTGAAATAGTGTAGATTCACGCAAGCTCTCCTGATAAAGCCTGCCTGCTTCGGCAGCTCTGCCAAGGCTATCCAGAGCAGAAGCCAAATTATTGAGGCTTGTGAGGGTATCAGGATGATTGGGCCCCAGTTTGTCCTGAGAGGCACATGAGGCTTGTCTCTTCCACAACTACACAAAGCATGCAAAGTATCCGCAACCCAATCATCCACCGAGATTCATGACGGAGCTTGAAAGCACCTCGAAAGCACTTCTCCGCCTCCTCATGCTCGCCCTGGGCCTCAACCGCTACACGCGAGCACTCCACTCCGCGTGCAATACCCGATCCTATCGTCACAACCCAGCCAGCACCTTAACACGTGGCTCTTCCACAGACCGTACTAAACCAAACCTGCTGCCCAACTCTGCTTTTGCTGCAACAAGCAGAAGCCATGAACCTCTGCTAAGCTGCTAAAAGTGGTTGCTTGACAAGCTTCCCCCAATACGTTGGCTCAACATTACCTGTCTAGGTAGCTTCTGTCCTCAGCAACCCTGATGGACCTACCTTAGTACATTGCTGCTCGCTTTGCCTCATACCTCTGCATGACTCCTGCATTTTAAACTTGGCTTGACTTGTGCCACAGACTCACACTCACTCTTCTAGCCCGTTGCTTCAATTGCTACCTGACACACCAACATCTATGCTCAAAATCACATGTTGCGACATCTATGTTTTCCTTGAACAAAGTAGCACCAGCGTGGCGCACCACTCACATGTGCTGCAGTCCACGCCTTCCACACGGAGCCCAGGTTGCTCAAAGCATCCAGCGTGTGAGGCGCCTGAATCCGCACAATTGTCAAAGGGCTAGACTTGGAGCATATGAACGATCCTTGAGCTGTGTTGTATTCACGGGGGCTGGGCTTATTTGGGGCTTATTGAGCCTCCCCCCCCCCTCCCTCCCCCCCACCATGATGTATTCAGCCCAAGTCAAGACAGTGCCTCCGCATGGCAACCTGCCTGCTCTCCAAAGGCTTTGCGTGAGCCAAGAAAAGCTTCCTGCGCCAGAAGCACGGCCTGGCTTGTCGAAATACGTCTCAGGCAACATGAGATTTTTGCAAGAGGAAAACTCCATGATGCTGGGAATTCTACCTGCCTCATAGTGTTGCCCGGATCTGCACCACAATAGCAAGCAGCACGCATGGACAGCAATACATGTCTATCCAATATTATGGGACAAGAAAGTGCAGTGAGTACTTCAGTCAACATAGTCCACACTAAAAAAAAAAAAACATTAGAGCTACTTGGCTGTGGGTCAAAACCCTGTACCCCTGGTGAACATCAATATAGGTGGTACATGGGTGTTCATCCGCCCTAAGATGGAGGCATAGGTTGTGACCCATGGCCATTTCACAGCATTGCCTGTGCAGCTGAGCAGCTGATTGCGCATTGCCGCCTTTGCTAGAATTGGTGCTCGAACCGCAACTCTGGCCCCTCATGCAACCAAGTCCGACATTTTCCATGTTGGTGAGGGTATGCCAATTAGACCAAACGTGTTTCTCGACTTTTAAGAAGCCAGCCTCGCAAAAGCAACCGAGGCACCATCCTTCCAACGCTCTGCAACGTCTTGGGAGTGGGGTTTGTCCCAAGCTCGCGCCGGTGCATCGCCTCGCCATGCTCTGTCTCTTTGGATTCGCCTCGCAAAGGCATTTGCCATTCATTTGTTTAACCCTTGATCCAATGAAATCAAACTGTCACGTTAACCAATAGTTTCATCAAAAGTCACATGTGAGATGTGTGCCTGTGTGTGTGTGTGCGTGTTTACGAAATCAGTGAAAACTCAACACACTGCAGTCCCAAATCCGGGGCCTCGTGTTCCTGGGTTAGCACCCGTTTGTGTCACACTGGGGAGGGTCTTGGCATTGCCGGCACCATTTCGCCGCCTCGCGTCCTTGCATGCTTGCGAAATGCTTGCGAACATGAGAGGCAGCTCTTTGAATCAGCTTGGTATAGCAATGCGCAATGCTGACAAGTGTCCAAAATACGCTGAATAAAATGTGCGGTCCAAGTGCCCATGCGGACCCTCTGCTCAGTCAGAAGAGTGAATCATTGCAAGGACGCCGCGCCGGACTAATGCTTGTTCAGCTACAAACCAAGAAGTGCTAAACAAGCAAGAGGTTTGCTGATACATTCGATGACAACCGGATTCATATCGATCTCTGCGTGTAGAGACTCGGGTAACTCCAACACAAGCGTCGAACATGTGCTGCGTTGTCCTGCCCATGGTCGCCATCTTCAAATCAAGAACGGTGCCATGAAGTGCAAGATCTCAAGCCAGACAAACTTCCAGTGCAACCATCATCTACGTCGCAGCAAATTGCCTGTCCTCCAAGATAGAACCCCAAAAAGTGAAGAGCAACACATTCCATCAAATTCATATCAATTCATTTGACTAGGTTTGTGTTAATACGTGCATGAAAACATTGCCATGTTAATAATCAAGCGTGTCGGCATTGGGGGTCAGTAAATGCTAAGTACCAATCCAACCAGTTGACTTCAACCGGTTCAATGTTCAACCGGTCCATCCGGTGAACAGGTTTACCTTTCATTTGGTTTAACTGCCAACCAAAAAGGTCTGCCGTTTTAAAAAACAACCACAATCTGAAAATCATGCGATTGGTAACCAGATGTGGGCTAAGCTGTGATCTGTTCTGTGGCTGGGCGGTGCAATCCTTGTATGTGATAAATTAGCGATTGGCCTGCTTTCTCTGTGAAAGTCAGGGTCAACCCCGGTTGCAATAAGAACTACCCGGGAGTTGCCCAAAGTTGAATGGGTTCGCAATGGTGAATAAAAGTCCCAATCGCAAACTCAGGTAGAAGTCGCCGGAGAACGCAAAGCAGCAGGCTATGGCGTTTCAAAAGAATCCGCCGCCTGAACCCAGTTGTGCAATCCAAGTGACAGATTCCAGTGTGTGCTTGGCAACCGCAAACGAGGAACACTTAAGGGATTCGACCCGCCCCCGCCCACGGACTTTTGCCTTGAGCCAGATGTAAGTCTGCAAACAGTTCAGGATTACAGGCGGAATGATCCGTCTCAACCCGGAATGATCCGTCTCGACCCAGGCGAAAATACTTCCCTAAGGAGAGGCGCTCACCTGATCAAAGGCGGAACCACCCTTCTCGTTAAAGGTCCCGCGCACTGCTCCTAGCCTCAAACCACAAAGAACCCAGAACCCAAAAGCCGACAGCAAGGCGCACACCTTTTTACCGGGTTGCTTGGGAAGGTGGCACTTTCCTAGGGCACTGCGGTGCACCTAGGACAAGGGGCGAGATGTTCCCCCCCTTGTGGAAAACAATGTTGCAAGACAAGCGTGTCCTTGCGTAAAAATGCCAAAAGGGGGGCGTGGCATGCGTGCCCACGCCCGCATCAAAGAACCTGCGGGTCCAGAGACGCCAGCAGGGCCAGACCGCGGGTCTGGACCCTGGTATGAAGCTCCCAGCTTGGAGGGCTGTCCGGTGGGCCGAAGCAAGCCGGAAGCTTAGAAGGGTCGGGTGGGTGGGTTTCTCACGAAACCAGGACTGCGAGTCCAAAACGTGAGTTCGAGGGCTAGGAGCACCAAATGGCGGCGGCGTAGAAGATTCACCCCAGACCTATAAAACGAAAAGGTCCCGCGCAATGCTCCTAGCCTCAAACCACAAAGAACCCAGAACCCAAAAGCCGACAGCAAGGCGCACACCTTTTTACCGGGTTGCTTGGCACTTTCCTAGGGCACTGCGGTGCACCTGGGACAAGGGGCGAGATGTTCCCCTCCTTCAGTGCTTCCCAAGGCAACCCCGGCAACAGGCGATTGAGGCCCAGGCGCAAAGTCCCCCTCTTCAGTGCGGGGTTGCACCTGCGGCGGAACGAAGCACAGGGACAGGCAATGCGAGGGCATTGCTGACATTAATGCAGCGACTTTCATCAGTCCATTTTCCTGATGGAGGAGTTTGGGCGCAAACTCGGCCATCGCAGCCAGGTCTTCTGGCTGCGGAAAAGCGACGCCCAGTGCGAAATGCAGAAGGCGCGGCGGTCGAAGGCCACACTGGCTTTCTGAAGCCGGACGGCAAGCAAGCCAGCCCGGCGGCTGCAGCCAGATGTTCTGGGCGCCATGGTGCCTCTGCGGAGCAGAGTGTGATGCTCCTTCCAGCTTGTGCAAGGCCGGCAGGGCTGAAGCGCACGCGTTTGGCAGGGCGGTGGGCGAAGCGCCCAAGGCGATTCCTGCTCAAATCGTCCGTCCACTCATTTTTTTTCTCCATTGCAGACCTGCACCCTCTTGTGATGCATGCCCAATCCATGTCGCCTAAATGACAGAGACAAAGGCCTTTGGCCGAAAAGTCACTGTGAGGAACCCAGACAAACAGACCACAAAAAGTCGAAAGACCCAAATCACTCAAAGCGGTGCCTTCGGCACCAATTCTCATCTGCCACTTTCTTAGCAGCACATCGTAACTGCTCATGCACAAATTGAATCAAATCACTTCACGCGGCGCCTTCGGCACCAGTTCTTAAATGCCACCTTCTTCGCAGCACATTGTAACGGCTCATGCACGAATTGCCTTTCCAAGCTAATCCAAGGTGTCACATCGGAAGTATCAGGCATTGTTTTGAAACTTTTGACGTCTCTAGCTTGCGATGCTTTTGTGTCTTTCGACTATTTCTACAAGGATTGTTCCACTCTGCATTTGTGGCCTCGTTGCGAGCCCAACACTTGCTTCATAGCCGAAAGCCCTACCCAAGGATTGTGCACGCTTAATTTCCTCACATGGCCACAAGGGATGATCAAGAATGATCTTCAAGTCATTAAGCGCAAGTCTGAAGGCAGCCAATGTGTGTTTAAACTCTGGCCTTGGTACGATGCTTGGCCTGCCGGGCCGGTCCCAATCGTAGATTGGCTCAAAGCTATTTCCTCCATGGCTCCAAGGGACCTGGGCTCCTGTGGCCAATGTAAAATCAAGCCACAATTCAAAATAGGTCACATCTGACTTGCTGTCCTCTGGATTTGCCTGCGGCCATCTGAGTGTACTTACCCACTTCTGTAAAAAGTACATGCACTCACATCCCCAGAAAAGATACTGTTCTCGGTCTTGTGGGACTGTTTGTGGCTTGCGCCACAAATTGCATGCACGAGCAAGTATGCATTTTCTGGGTGTCAAGAAAATTTCGGTGCAGTTGAACGATCTGAAGTTCTTGCGCATTTTCAAGCTTCTTTCGTTGTAGCGCCCTGGCTGAGTTGGTTGCAGAAGAACGTTTTTGGCATGCGCCCAAGGCGACAAGCTGCACAAAAATTTGCAAAGGCCAAGACGTTGTGAACATCTTGTTAATGCCTGCTTCTGCCGCCGAGTTGTCAGCCTGGGGGCATGCTGAAAGAGCGGCGCCCGCCTCCAATGCGGCTGCGTGGCCTGGAGGAGCGCCAGTTGCGCTGGTGTTTCGAGGCACGCGACGCAGGCTGCCTCCATGCGGCCTTTCGAAAATGATTGAATTATTTAAAAGTGGGCAGCAGCCTGCCCAGCCTTTGGCTTTCGGCAGGTTTCAAAATTTTGGAAGTCGCAGGTAGCGCCGTGCACTGCCTTGAGGCTCTCTCTTTAGAGGGGGTTTCCCAAATGGATTCTATTCCACCTGGTAGGCTCCTAACACCCGTCCGTCCAGGAAACGACCTCGTCCTGCGAAGGATTCGAAATCTAAAACGCTGCGTGCAGGCGTGTGGCAAGCGAGCCAACCTGTGCAGGGCTAAGAAAAAAACAAAAAAAAACAGAAAAAAAGAAGGGGTCCCCAAAAAAGGGGTCCCGAAAAAAAAGGGAAAAGGGGTTAGTTTTGAGCCAAAGAACCGCCCAAAAATGTCCAAACATCATTTAGACAAAAGGGTCAGGCACACCCAGACGAGACCCAAGGAAATCAAGGCAAAACCGAAAGCCCCTGCAAACACACAGGTTCCCGAAAAGTCCGAATGCCTGGCGCGCAGCTTTTCTCGTCGGTGGCATGGGGGTTCTGATGCTTCTAGAATTCAGGCAGGCACACAGGTGCACACACAAGGGTAAAGTTACCTAAGCAAGCGATGCTGCACACGGTAATGCTGATGCAAACTTTGGCAATTTATTCTAGGCCTTCTCCCCCCACACAATATTGCTGATGCAAACTTTGGCAATTTAGTCTAGGCTTTGCCGATTGCACACCTGACTTGGCGCCAGGGATGGGCGGGCGGGACAAGGCGCCAACTCCAAAAGATGGGGACAACCCTCCCACCTCAGCCCATGCTGCATCATCTGAGGATTGTCAACACGATCCAGACAAAGGCAAGTCTCAAGGCAAAACATGTTTGCAATCGCTCAGGGAATGCTCAAGGAAAGTTTTTGGGCATGAAAAATTAAGCATCTTAATTTTTCATTCTTTGTCTCTGAACTAATGTGCTATCACGGGTGACCGCATACTTAGTTTTGAGCCAAAGAACCGCCCAAAAATTTCCAAACATCATTTAGACAAAAGGGTCAGGCACACCCAGACGAGACCCAAGGAAATCAAGGCAAAACCGAAAGCCCCTGCAAACACACAGGTTCCCGAAAAGTCCGAATGCCTGGCGCGCAGCTTTTCTCGTCGGTGGCATGGGGGTTCTGATGCTTCTAGAATTCAGGCAGGCACACAGGTGCACACACAAGGGTAAAGTTACCTAAGCAAGCGATGCTGCACACGGTAATGCTGATGCAAACTTTGGCAATTTATTCTAGGCCTTCTCCCCCCTTTATCCGACTCTCACTTTGGCACATTTCTGGACAAGTTCCGCTACCCTTGCAGATACATCGCGGCGGACTGCGCCTTTGTTTTCGAGAGAAGAAACATCGCGTCTCGAGGGCATGTCTGCTGGGTTGGATGGAGACGGCACACGTGCTACCCACAAGTGAAGTGAGGCACAATCCTCTGTCTCGAACAAATCTCTCACAAGGCACTGGCCCATCCTGGAGCGGGCTGCTCCTGAAATGACAACGTCCCTGCAAGAATTATTATCGATAAACAATAGGACCGGTGCACCCTGAAACATGTTTTC